AGACGTGGATTTACATAGTAAGCGTCATGGAATGCAAACACATTAAGTTTTAATATGGAGCAAATGCAATATACACTTTATGCGCATTCGTATTTCTTTAACAGAAATAACAGCTTGTTACAACAAAAAGAACGGTATGTGCGAGGCGATGAGGAGGGTGGGGGGGGGGGGGGGGGGGGGGGGTAGAGACTTGGACGCAAATGGGGAAAGGGGGTAAGGAACGAGAGGTTGCAAGAACCCGAATATAGGAGATTCACGATGAAAACAAATGAGGATTTGGGTTCTCAACCTTTGCCATAAAGTTGTTGATGCCTTCTTGCTCAACCCACTCCTGGTACTATTGTCACACACGTACAACAACTTGGATGACTGTTCACGGCGACGTCAAGCAGCTGCAATACCGACGTGCAACCGACGGTGATCACGCCTGGCACCAAGCCCAGAGCTTGTACTTCTCTTTGACCTCCGAGGTGAGATGTCTTCGATATGGATCGAATATGAGAAGATCCGAGCGCGCACGGCGTACGGCGCATGGTTGGATGTGTCAAATTATATGTATGCTATATATGTTTAGGCTGTAGTGGGATAGCCAATATGGGGTACAGCCCCTTTTAGGGTTTCATACTTGTATCCAACACTTTCCTAGTTCATTCACTCCTGCTAGTTGATTCCGACAGGATGAAGGGTAACGCTTCATTTAACCACCTAATAACTCTAGCAGCGTCCATTTAACCGTTGAATTGGGCCTCCACTACCACATCTGCAAGCCATCCACACATAGAGGGGTCAGGTGAAGCCAGGGTTGAGCGAAACCCAAGAGAGCTACAACAGGGAACTCACCATTGGGGACATTCCCCACACAACCCAAACGAATTCGAGAAACACACAGAGCTTCAGCTTCTTTTCCACCGTGGAGCAAGCGAGCATCACGATATCATTCCCCATTCAACCCACGCCTCGAATAAGGCTAATGGGTGCCGATCTTGTCGATCGTATGGTCTACTCGATCAGCGTTGATAATCCTTTTCTGCTCGATGTCGTACGTGCATCGAGAGCAGCGAATGAATATACCGTATCGTTCCGGCTATAAGACCCGAGGGACCCTCTACAAATGCTGGAAAACATGCTTGAGTGGACATTATGGCGGCAGCAAAGTTTCTAGACCCGTAGTACACTTATTTATACAGTCTCAATCTGTTATTTAGGGTGTACGACTCAATTTGGGCAGGGGGTCTTATATTCGTAACGAATTCGCGCAAATTTTGCGCGTGCGACACGTCAGATCTGTGTCAGAATTCGAGTCCGACACAAATGAAGTGTCTGGATTCGAGTCTGACACAAAAAGCGTGTCAGAATCCGAATTTGTGCCAGTAAAAGCTGACGCACAATAGCAATAATATGTATTGTACACATAGAGGGGGGGTCTTATGATGTTTAGGGGCAAGAGGGGGGTCCTCACAAAACCTGCCACAATAAGAGCCCCCCTACCCATTCAGGAGTCCCGAGGGACCTTCTTACCGGCAGGTCTTTTAGCCGGAACTATACGGTATATAGTTTGAGCACTTGCGGCCCACACTCTGTGTGGGTGGGTAGCGCATACAAGGGCATTTATGACAGTGTGACAGTATGGTATATTATGAGAAGCATCCTACAATATGATAGGAAAGCAATGACATAATGACTCAACTTTTAAGACCGGACACAAAAGAGTGGGATATTTACGGTTTGAGATTTTTTTACCGATTTAATGTTGTCAAACAAATTCAACATTGAACGGAAACGCTCAAGCCAACGGTAAGAGCCCTCCCACTTTATATCCGGATGGAGCTCTTTGATGACCCTAGAGTAAAAGTCCTGCACCATCTCGCAATACCACAAGCTTCTTCCATGCCCGTGCGAGTGCTTGCGACAAGCAGCAACACCGTTGAGGTTGACAAGTTTCTTCTTCCACCCGATCAGACATTTTTCGCGAGATACTGACTCTCGCGCACATCGCTTACGTCGGTGACAACCCTTAGATAAATGATTTACTTTCTCGGTTTTGGGTCGAAAGGTAGGCTTGTTTTTTTTATTGAAAGGAGGATAGGTTGGAATTGAGAGATGCTTGGAAAGGCCGTCATGAGACTGGTATTCAATGACATCATCTTCACCGACGGCAAATTCGTCCCACCAGCAGTCATTCAACATTTCCCAATAAAAACCACCCTAGTCGTCGTCGCACACAGCGTCTTTGTCACCCACTGTGCACGCCAACCTCTGCGTCATTATCGTCACTCGCAACTTCCGCGTTATCTGTAGCCGCCTCCTAACATTTCTCAGCCTCCGCCATCCGCATAAGCCGCAGGATCGGGAGGAGAAGCGTCATTGGAGCACGTTCATAAACAAAGCTGATGCTGGCGGTGCAGGAGGTATCAACGGAGAAGGTGAGGCAGGAGGTGTTGGCGGTGCAGGCGGAGTATGGGGGCATAGGGGTATAGGTGGCATTAGGCTTGATGTTAACCGTCTACCCCTATAACTGTCTTGTGGAAGCCCGAACAGGAAAGCCACTCATGAGTGTCAAAATATGGGCAACATATTTCATATAATTGTCTGTAGTATTAGTGTAGCTGCCTCATGTTTGGTGGTGGTGCACCACCTTGCCTTGCTCATCCCATTTGTACTTGTCTTTCCATAGTGAACATCCTCCTTTGCTTGCACTCATCTCCCTTACCTAGCCTAAACCCTAGGCTAGTGGCTCTAGCCATACCTACTATTTTGACAATGAGATGCCCACCATGGCTCAAACTCTAGAGAATAAGCTGTTTGTCGAGAATAATTTAGATTGTGAAAGCGCAAAGAATTTCCGAGCAGAGATCCTTGTCGAGACGGCGATTCGAGTTTCTGTCATTGCAAAGAAATTGGTTATGGCAACAAATATTGTCGTTGGCATAATCCAGGCCAGATAAGAAGTTAGGCATGTTGCAATTGTCCCTGTTGCACGCCGCATCCATGCCCGATTAGACCGCCAGGTAGCTATACCTACGTGTATGGATGCAGCTCCATTTCCGTGCTGGCGGATTGGCGGATTGGCTCCGCTACGCTGACACTATGCATTTCAAGCATCTCCAATACTCGAACCGTTTGGAAACAGTGTGGTTGCAAAGCCTGTATTGTTGTGGGCTACAATTTCCTACCTTCGAAACATTTTTGGATAAGTGCGATTTAAATTGGAGATTGTGCTAGAAAAGAACGTGGATTTTCGCCTGACAAATTAGAAGCGCACCCTCAATTCTATTCGGGAGAACAAAATATCTGGTACTAACACATATTGTATAGAAAATGCACATACTATCTTGTTTTCACGCTCTAAACATTGTTGTGTAGTCAATATTCCAAGAGCAGAAAACTTCCTTCTTTTGCAACGAATATGCTAATATGCATGCACCTACTGAAAAGATTCCTGACTATCGCGTACAGGTATGGTATCAGGGGACCTTGAAATTAACGCTACACACAGAGACTTCGGTCCGCTGCACACAGACAATGGCATGAAATGGGTGTCGTGCTGTGTCATTGGTTTTCGTTCAGGAACTTTGCAACTAGAGTCTCTTCTTGTTTGTCTCGGCGGCTTTAACTGAGACCACAGAACAGGGAGCGATTAGATTATTCCGTCAAGGATACTTGAGAGCGCCTATGCTGCAGAGCTTCGTTAGGCTTTCGCTCTCAGCGTGTCGCGTCACGGCGATCTTGGGTACTCTCCTTAGGTTGGTCATCCTCCTCATTCTCGTTTTCTAGCAATGCCTGCATTTTGCTGTGCATGGTTCCAATGCGCTTTAATCAGGATGTAATAAGGGATTAATACGAAGATTTCTCTGTCCTCCTCCATTTCCTACGAAAGCGTGACCTAAGCGCGTCTCCTATTCCGGCTCCTACTACCGTTGGTCCTGGCTGAAGTAGGATGCACAGCCAGACACTCTTGGAGTAGGGATCGACGACTCGATAACTATTAGGTTCGTTAGCCTCTTTCAAGTTAATCACGCATGACATTCCTGATAACTTGGACATATGCAGTTCTCCGTGACTCTGGAACGTGCAGGATATCGTACTTCTTGTTTTTTCCTCTAGCTTCGAGCAAGAAGCTAATGGTTCCTGCTTCCTTTCTTCAGGCTTTACCGAATCACGTCACCCGAGGCAAGTGATCGACCTCACATAAGTCTTAATGCTCTCCTTACTGAACATTAACGGACTCGTTCAATCCGGCCACCTGACTGCTGGACCAGGCTGAAACAGGGTCGTCATCAATCAGGTATTCCCAAATTTTTGAGTTTCTAGAAGTCGATGATAGATTATGTTACTTTCGGCTTCCTGTTTTGCAGATTCAAATATGATCAAGTTCAGCTTGGTTATTCGATGACGTCCTGGTTTACTTGCTGAGTCGATCTTGGCTTCGGGTTTTGCATCACGCCATGGTAAACGCTCAACACACTGCCTGCATTTTGCTGCTATTGGCTCCTGTTATGCTCATTTCCGCGAATCTAGATCAATGTGAGACCCCGGCATCCGACACTGATGATACCCGACAGGTGCTTTCTTAGCTTCCAGAATTGTTGACATCTGTATAGTCAATTTTAATTTGGTTCCAAGGTGTTCCTAAAACTTTTGGACAGGAACCTGCTAGTTCGTTACACATTCTCCGCACGTCGGGGGAACACCACATTTCTGCAGCAGCTAACACTTGCTATTTTCTAATGCTTGTTTGTTTGTGTTTTGAGTTCCAGGATATATTTAAAAGCTGCTTGGAAGATCGTTACTGACCCCTGTCAGCTCGTTCACTCGATTCATGAACTTAAATGGCTCTCTTATTGCGGCTTTTGAAGCCGTTATTTCCAGTTGTCATCCAATGGCTACTACTCGCCCTCATATTTCACACAGACAACCTGTTACCATGGGATCGTATCATCAGCTATCTTTTGGACCTGCCTATCACCAGCGTCAGAGCAAGCAATGGTCATCTGGGAAACATGGCCGTTTCATTGGTCAGAGCCTGGCTGGAAGGGGACTGGAGAATGCTGACACCTCGCATGCTAGCGTGGACCCAGGCGATCAGCTGGTGGCTGGCCTTTTCAGTTGTCATGACAGGCACGCTAACTGGTGTCCGAGATTTAGTCTTATCTGCGTTTGCTGATTCACTTATCAGAGCAAGTGGAAGCCCGAAGCGTCAGACTCGCTGGAAGCTTAAGAAGAGAGGCGTGCTGGTTATAGCGAACCTCCAGCTCTCTCCATTGCTTCTTGATGACCTGGACCTCCCGGTATTAGCACATTCAGCAAAGGTGGAGACACTGGAACTCTCACTCCCCCTCCTAGCTTTTCTCCTCGCCAGAAACATCTCTCTGCAAATCAGGGGGTTCCATGTGGAGCTGACTTCTCGCAAGCTCCCCTCTGAGAGGGATTGCCGTGGGCTTGATGCTCAGGTGGAGGCAGAGAAGCGGGCCAGGCAGCGGCAGAGGCTGATAGACATCGACAGATTGCTCTGGGATGACAATTCTCCTCCTCCTTCTTTCATGCAGAAATTTCAAGACTTCCTCATTTTCACAGTTGCCTCCCGAGCAGCGCAGTGCGTGCAGGTCTCCATCTCCCAGGTGACCATCCGGTTCCGACCCAGCAGCCTGAGCTCTCTGCCTGAGCATCTCCACCGTACTCTCGCCCTCCGCCTCGACTCCCTCAGCCTCAGCAACGGCCATCCAGCCTCCTCTGACTTGCTGCTTCCCAGGGCAAAGGTGGTGGACGTGCGGGGCTGCAAGCTTGAGCTCGTGAACGAGTCGAGCAGGCCTTCCGCTCCATCGTCAGGGGTTCAAGCGGGGAATGACAGTGCTCCAACTGGCAAGACGGATTCGTCTAGCAGATTGCACAGGCAGGCTCCGCATAGGCCTGCTGTGACTGTGGTGAAGCGCTGGAGCTTCTCTGTGACTGTGGAGGCAGGATGGGGTTTATGGCACCAGGGAAGCAAGAACAGTGGAGTGGTGGTTTCTGCCTCGCTGGACATGGGCGCTCTCATCATGAGTGCGAATGAACTGGTGGTGCAGTATCTGTCTGGCTTGGCTGTGGACTTGGCTGAATTCACAGACTATGCCAAGTACAGGCAAACTCGCCCTCGTGCTTCAGTGCTTGAGGATCCCAGGGCATGGTGGCGGCATGCCATTGGAAGCGTGGCACGAGATCTCCGAGCAGCGGCAATGGACGTTGAGCTGACAGGGCTGTCGCAGTCCCTCCAAGCCACCCTGCGCCTGCAGTATGAGAAGCAGTACAGCGACTTCGTTGCAGGGCGCTGCTGGTCCGTGGCGTCTGCTCAGACGCGCCTGCAACAACTGGAGCAGCAGCTTGGCACTCTCAACTGCGCGTTTGTGCGGTTCAGGGTGGCGCTGGCGGCAGAATCTGAGGGGTTGACCCACAGTGAGCCTGCATGGGACCAGCACATGACCAACGTGAGAAACAAACTCCAGGATCTGAAGTACCTTCTTTCTGGTGGCTCCATCCCTGAGCCTCAGGCACATAAGCCGGTCATCGAGGTCAGCAGCAGGTTTACATGCCCCAAGCTGTGCGTCTTGTTGACGTCAGCGTCAGACCTAGATTGGGGTGCTGAGGTGTCGCTGCATGAGGTGGCGCTGAGGTTCACTGAAACGGGTTCTCTTCATGCTGAGGTGTCATGCAGAGAGCTTCTGGTACGAAACTTCTATGTCCCTGAGAGCGAATTAGTAGGGAACATCGTGCACTCTGTCAGCTTCTCCCAAACCTCCGCCTTTCCTTCCTCTTCAGCCTCCTCCCCTTCCATTGGTCCTCGTGCCTCGTCCCCATCACCTCCAGTGCCTGGCTCTAGTCAACCGTCCCCACTGCATCCTTCTCTAAGCGGTCCTGCTGTGCCTGCTGCAGCAGCTGGAGCTGCTGCATCGTGCTCCCTTTCCTCGGGCTCCACTCCCTTCTTGGCTGTCTGTTTTGTCCAAAGGTACGGCTCTCGGCCCCGTCCCTGCCAGCTGCCCACCTGCCTGGTCGGCAGGTGGCATCTCACCTGCCCCTCAGAACTCAAGAAGCCAAGTTCAGGCCGTTTTTTCCAGTTTCTTCGAGCAGTCCGGTCTGACAAGTACATCAAAGCATCGCAGCAGAGCCCGAAAGCCGCGTTGACACCAGGGGAGATGCAGCAGCAACAACATGTACGGGATCCAGTGGAAGGGGTGGAGCAGAGGAAGCAGCCAACACATCCAAGTACAGAGGGAAGCAGGGGAAGCAAAGGAGAGTATGGCGAGACAAAGTGGAATGGGGAGCGTGAGCTCGGCGTGTTAGAGCTTGGGTGGGGCGAGGACGAGTTGCAGCGGCTGCATACTCGAGTGGAGGCGCACATGTCTCCCCTTCGAGTCTTCCTCGACCGCCGATGGCTTTTCCAGCTCATGCAGCTTCTCTCCTCGTCTCCCTCGACGCAATCCCAGCCAACTGCAGCCAGCCAAGGCAGAGCACTTAGCCATTTAGCCTCACAGGCTGGGAAGGGTGTGAGTAGCCGTGCTCAGGCTGGAGCTGGTGGAGGGAAAGGACTGGGAGGAGAAGGTGCAAGGGAAAGAGGTGGGGAGATGGCAATGGGGGACGCAGCTGGTGGTTCAGGTGACAGTGAGTGGATGCCGGATATCACCAAGCAGCAGCACTACCTGTACCGGAGAAGGGGAGACTCTGGAAGCGTAGATTCCTGGAGCAACGGTGCTGCTACTAGTGCTGCAAAGAGGCCTCCAGGCACACCCGGTGGTGGCGCGGGACAGAACTGTGGTGGTTTCAGTGATGGTGGTGCTGCGTCGCTGAACCCGACTCTCTTCGCGGATCTGCAGGAATACGTGAGGGAGTTTGGGCAGCACGTGGCGAGGAAGCGAGTGCAGCATGTCAGGGAGAACCTGCCAGAGATCGCTGCCCGGGTTGGCAGCATACTCTTCATCATCCCATGCCGCGACATTGTGAGTGTGAAGTAGAAAAGAAAAAACACTTGTGATGTGCAAAGTGCTCATGCTGGTCTGTCACATCTTCATTCCACCAGCATGGTTTGATTCCTTTCTGATGCTGTATTACAATTCCAACCCATGGCACTGTCCATTGCCTTGCCTCCTCTGAATGACAGGCCGTCATGCCTCGTCCATCATCATCAGCATCAGCCGGCCCTCAGCGCTCATCGGTGCCTTCAGCAGGAGGTGACGGCGACTTTCAGGCATTCTTTGGCATGGGGATGGACCACCAAGCACCACCATCACAGCCGCAGCAGCATCAGCATCAGCATCACCGCCAACAGCAGCGGCCACAGACACAGCAGCAGAACAATGCTCAAGCGTGGCAGAACCAGGGAACAGGAGCACAGAGAGCGAGACCTGCACCACTGACCCCTCCCCTGCTGGTCATATCCCTGTCAGAGATCGTTCTGGACACAAGGCCGACTGAAAGGTGATAATCGTGCAAACTATTTATGGTCCTCCTTGTTGCGTGGTTCATGATCCTTCCCCTTCAGCCTTCCCTGTCCCTCTGTGGAGAAGCAGCCACCCGATTCAGGTCTGTCCCCTATTCCTGTCTCTCCTTCTGATGTCTTGATTCTCAGTTCCATTCTTCAGAAGCAGGATGTCACCTCAGAATCAGCAGCGTCATCCAGCGACCAATCCCCAGCTGCCAAGTGGCGCAAGGTGGTGGCGTCCATGGCATCGCACAGGGGATGGATGCAGCGGCAGCATGTGGGCCCACTGCCGCCCAACTCTCTGGAGCAGGTCCAGGTGGAACTCACACTTGAGGCTTACCTGACTCGTGCTTCTCTCTCCAATGTTGCCGATTTGCGGGAAAGGTAATTATTGCCTGTAGCTAATCCTTCTTTTTTTTGGTTCACATGATTACATGGGCTACCTTCATTACATCCATCCATACGATACGATACGATACGATACGATACGATACGATACGTGCCCTCCTTTTTCATTGCAGGGTGGACTTCTTAAAGTCAGTGTCAGTCAGCGCATCCGTCTGTCGCTGCACTGAACCTATTCGAGAAACCGCAACCACTGTAAGGCCCCTCCTACAGATCATACTTTTCCCACTCACTCCTGGTGTTACTTCAAGAGCCCCTCTCACTAGTCTCTTTCTTTCGCTCGTCCATCCTTCCTTCCTCTCTCCTTTTCTCACATGTGCTTGCAAGTTGGCACTTATCTGCCTTTAACTGTGCAGCTGCTGAGTGTGGAGCTGGTCACGTCAGTCTTCATCGTTCAGCTCTCGCCGCTCATTGCCAAGGAGGTGTCCCGCCTTGTGCACACGTAAGCAACCGACTTTGGCACTTGCATTGCATGATCCAGTAGCCAGTAATGCAAGACACACATGTTTCAGGCGCATCAGCCCGCTTTCAGCACACTCCCGCACACCTGGGAAGCCCACCATAACACACTTTCCATCACGCCTATCCTGTTTTTGGCACCCCTCTGCACCTTCCCACTCTCCTCTTGCAGTTTAAACGAGACCTTTGCAAGCACCGGAGACCTCTCCTCAACCAGCAAGGAACCGCCACCACCCCCACCTGTTACACCTGGAGCACACCAGCTCGGGTGGAGGTTCTCCTTAAAGGTACACGCGTCTCTCGCATAATGCGACAAATGGACTCTCCTTTCCAATCTCAGCCGTAGCTTGTTTGGTTGCCAACTCTCGCTCCTCCCCGTTTCGCATCAGTTCTCCCCAACCCAAAGACCCCCTTCTTCTTACCCTTGCTCTCCCGCCTCCACCCCCCACCTCTCACTCACATCACATCCACCTGTCTGCAGGGAGGTGGTTTCCTGGTCGAGGCGTGTCAGGAGATGGTGCCGCACAGCAAGGCTGACTGCCCGTACGGCGTGTGCCGCTGCCGCCAGTGGGTGCCTTCGTCTGACACCGCTGTGGTACTCGTCTCCACCGCCGAGGACCTGCGCGGATGCCCCCCCAGCACTTCCAAATCAGTTCCTCCAACTGCTGCTGTTGCTGCTGCTGCTGCTGCTGCTGCTGCTTCTTCTTCTGCTGGAGGTTCTGCTTCAGCTGTGGAAGGCCAGCGCCATGAGCCGGTGGTGGTGGTGTTCCGAGTGAGGCTGGACAAGATTCGAGTGGAGGCAGAGCAGCACAATGATAAGGTAAGTAGTTGTCAGAGCACCACAGATGTACTCCGCCTGCCTTTTGGGCTTCATGTTTGGCCATATCCGTCATGTAAGCTCATGAATCTTGTCCTTCCAAATCTCACTTCCCATGTCCCTCTCCCTCCATAACCACTTTTGTCCTCCCAATCCAGTTATCTCTCCTATTGCTGCTCAGAGGACTCTCCAGTGGCCGTATCCTCCCTCCTGTAAGTTTTATCTCTCTCTCTCTCTCTCTCTCTGTCCCCCCTCCTCCCCCACCCACCCCTCCTAACCCCCCTCTTTACATATCACCTCTCTCTACCTCTCTGACGCTCCCTCTCCCCTTTCTCCTTCGTTTCAGCATCCTTCCCCTCATTTCCTCCTCTCCCCATCCGCTAACACCTCCCTCCCTTTTCTTTGCAGATCGCGATGGTGCGGGAACTGTTTCCACCTGGCAAGGCCATGATGGCACGGGTCAGTTCCAATTCTTCTGGACCCACCTCAGCTTGCCATATGATCAGGACATAGTTTTCTTCGTTTGATCCGACCTCACATGCATGTCAATTTGTAATTTTCCTTTCGCCATCCGGACCACCATTTCCGCATCCTACTGTTAACAACCCCTGCGCTGTTGCTAGTCTCTTAAACCTCACTGTTGACCCTTCCCCTCTGACGTCAAACCCAGGTGTTCTACCGATGGCGCCTTCAGACAGTGGTGGCGAGGGGTTGCAGCGATGAGGCCATATTTGCTGCCTACGAGTCGCTCCAGCGGGCCAAGGCTCAGGTGCAGTGCATCAGGCTTCATTGCCTGTAGGCTGCAGCTCAGTGCTGGGAATAAGGGAAATTTGTGTTAGTGCATGTTGGTTGTATTCGTTTTGCTTCTTGATAGACATGAGCAATGGCTCCATTGACATGGCACTCGCCCTCTGTGTGCACGGATGAATTGCCGTGCCATGGTTGGTGCTCTGCAGGTTGCTGTTCAGCTGCAGGAGGCAGGAACATTGCACCAGGTGGCTGTGAAAGTCGCCCTCCTCCCATTCTCCTGGTACGCCCCTTTTTTTCGCCCATTAAACAGCCAATCTTAACCCTTGAACCTCCTGCTGTAGACGATGCTGCTTCCTCCTTTCCACAGCCACTTCACCCATCCCCTACATCTCACTCGTGTTCAACCCATTTTTCTACCACACCACCACCCACCCATCCGTGTCCTGCTGCAGTGACACCAATAACCTATCCGCGGTGCTCACCTTCCTCACTCACCTTCAAGCCGCTATCTCTCGGACCACCTCTGCTCCACGGGGTCCCTCAAATTCCCGAGCTCGCCAGATGCTGACTTTTGGAAGCAGCGAAGTGGAGAGGGACTCGTGGGGCGAGCCCACACCCACTGCTTTACCCTCCAGCCGCCCGACTTCTTCGTCTGGCCGGTCGCGTGTGTCTTTTAGAGATGCAGCAGAGGACAGCGTGGAAAGCGAAGATGAGACGGAGGAGGCACAAGGCGGGGAGAGGTGGTCTGGGAAGCAGGTGGGGGATGGAATGGCAGATGGTTCCGAGTTCGGGCCTCGCGTGCGGAGGACTGGGGGTGGGAAGCGGTTGAGCATTGGAGAGCTGCCCGTTGACGGAAGCGAGGCAGGCACGGATGTTGACGAGGATAATGAGAGGCAAGGAAATAGAGTGTCTCTGGATGATAGCCCCCTCGATATCCTGGGTCCGTGTTCTGAATGGCACCCTAATGGAGCGCCCTGGGAGGGCATGAGTGAGAGGAGAACACGAGGAAGGAGCAGGGATGGTGGAGAGAAGGACGGGAGAGGTGAAGGGTGCCGTGTGTATTCAACGAGCGGTTGGAGGGAGAGGAGGAGGGGTTGGCAGGGAAGCAGTGGGGAGGGAGAGGCAGCGGGTAGCGATGCAACGAGTGAAGTGTGGAAGCTGCAGGCGGAGCTGGGATGTGGAATGGTGATCATGTCCATTGGGGGAGTTTCTTTTGGCAGCGTCATCATGCAGAGGGTGAAGGTGGATTTGACCTCGCAGCCAGATGCCGTGGATGTGGACCTGACAGTGGGCGATCTGGATGTGGTTGACATGCTCGCCAACTCCAAGTGAGTCCACCCAGCACACTGCCCCAGTACCCCGATGTTCGATGTATTCGGTCCGACACCGCATTCTCTGTATCTCGGGGCGATCCAAGGTGTAGGCTTCACCACTGCTTCACTGATTCTTTGTCTGTAACCATCCCTCCTTCGGTGCAAGCCCATCCTTGGGATTTTTTTTCCAACTCTAGATTTGATCCACCTCACCTTTGTCGCCAGGCACTACGCTCACATTTTTGAGCCCAACGGAGACCTTCCAAGCCTGAACCTCGTTGTTCGGCAGAACATGGTGCAGCGAGGGCCGAACCTACCTGCCAAACCTCAGGTATGGCAAGTGGGTGTGGCATGGTACAATACTGTAGGTCTGACCTCAGGCACTAAACAATCACATCAATGTTCAAGGGTAATCCACCACAATTCCAGGTACCCAATCGACTGTATCCGTTCTCAAATTATGTACTCACACTCGCTGTCATTTGCTCTCAAACATGCGCACCCTCTGCTGTGAAGCCCCAGCATTTTTTCCCTCCCTCCACCACTAACTCTGCCCACCCAATGGCCCTCCTGTGTGAGCCGACAGGTGTGTGTGTTTGTGGAGAGCCAGCAGACGAGGATGACGGCCATCTTCCGCTTCTTCAACGACTTTGCTCTCTTCGTGGAGCGCATGGCCCCCATATTCTCAACCCCCCAGGTACGCACGCAGCCCACAATATAACTTCTCCTTTCCCGCACCATGAACCCTGAACCAGGTTACTTGTTCTCATCTCCTCACCCCAAATGTGTGCTGTACGCATTCCTAGTTCAAGGTTATTGCATCTGCTGGACACCAGCTGCCACCTCACTGGCAATTGTGCTAACACAGATATGTCATAGCTGACACCCTTCTTGCTTGCGCTGATCTTCTGACAGGCATCCGGTCCATCCAAAAAAGACGGCGTCTCAGCCAAGGGCCAGGATGGCAAGAGGGAGGGGTTTAAGCAGGGTAAAGGGGAGGGCAAAACAGCTGGGGATTCAGAGGGAGGTGATGCGCCTCCACTGGTGTTTCTGCACATCTCTGACCTGTCTCTCTGCCTTCCAGTGTAAGGGTGCTTTGCCTGCTTCGTTCTAGTGTGGTGCTCTAGTGTGGTGCTCTGTTTGCTTTGTCTCAACCAGATGGTGCTGCACAGCTCACGTGGCACATCTGTCTCCTCTCCTGTCCACCCACCCATCCCATCTCCCCCATGTCAGGTCGTCATGGAGCGAGGAGTCTCTGGATGTGCGAGTCGAGACCATCAACCTCATCGTTCCCACTCCGGCTTCTCAGCGCCTGTCCCAGCACACACTGCTCAGGTGCATGCTTGGTTTGAACTTTGACTGCTGCAATCAGGTAGAGTCATTTGTTTTCCCTTCTGTGTCTCTGGCCCAACACCCACCACGCGAATACGGCGTACGTCCATGCAATGCACTACACCAATCCATGCACTCATCATACACGCATTATTTTCAACTCTTTCTTTCTTTCCCATCAACCCGCCTTGTTACCTCACTGCAGACTCGCAACAGGCATCCGCCCGCGGGACCCCTCCTTCTGGAAGCCGCTGGTGGATGCTCTGGACCGCTCCCCCCCCGCTTCCCCCGACTCCATTGGCATTCAGCTCTCCCGCTTTGGGGCCTACTGGTCTCCTTCTAAGGTCAGATAATGTGATGGCCACTCCATTGTTATCTCTTCAAGGCAACCGCGTACTGCTCATGTGTGGTTGCTGCTCATCCAGGTTATAGGTGCATGGCGTTGAGACACACAACCTACACATGCCAGGCTTGCATTGATGCCCCTCTGCATCAATGCCCAGCTGCGTTGATGTGAACTTCTCTCTTGGCAGGGCAGAGGCCCTGTGTATGCATCTGTTCTTCTTACCATCTGTGCCTCCTCCCCCACCTTCTGATCCTTGCCTTCTCATCCCTGTGCCCTCACTCGCCGCATTCTCTGGCATGCCTGCTTGTCCCTGCTCTCAACAGACCATCACCCCCAAGGTGGAGCGAAACATCGTCTCTGAGGGTGGTGTCTTCATCTCCGTGCAGGTGCGGCTCGAGTGGTCTGGGATTGGGATGTGCTTCACTTCACTGATACTACCACGACATATCGTTATGCTTATACAATTCGACTAATTTGATTGGAGCACATTTTCTTCCTCTTCTCACCCCAAGTCCTTCAAATCAATACTCCACCTTCAGCCAACCACTAAGCACTCACCATTCGATCCTGTCTTCTCTATTCTCTCCACACTTCACCCTCCTACCCTCTGTCTGTCCCCTCTCCCCACCAGTCGAACCCATCACGTGTGCACGTGCACTGGCCTCAGGTGGAGATCCGTCTGGGCCCCACTCAGTACAACGCCATCATGACCCTCATCTTCCAGAACCTCGCAGAGGGCTGCTCCTTCACAGGTGGGCTTTGCCACAGTGCTGCAGGCAGGAACATAGGCAATACCATAGTTGCGTATGCACAGTACAAGCCATAACCCCCAACCATATGTGGACATGTTTCCGACTTGAAGCAGCGACTTGTCCAAACTCTCAACTATCTCATTGCCATCGAAGTTCTCCGCGCAGCAATTTACCCAAGCGATGTAATGTTCCATGGTCCACGTTACACCCCATGCCATGCCATGCCAACCAAACCCAGGCCAGACAACGAGGACAACTTGCTGACTTATGAGTCAATTCACCATCCACCCTGCCCCGTGTTACTTTCCAGTGAAATGCATGCCCACTCCACCTCCCTCCGCTCCTTCCTCCCCCCCACACCCCGCCGCACTCCTTTCCCCTTTCCCCCTTTTCCCACCCCCTCATCCCTCCCTCCTCTCCCCCCAACCCACCAGACGACCAGGTGTACAACCCGCAGGTGGGTCGCCCCATGGGCGGCGAGGCTGCTCCTCCGGACCCCTGCATCAGCCTGGCAGGGCTCACCCCCGACTTGGAGATTCAGCTCGACTTCGGCCGCGCTGTCATCCACGCCGACATGGAGCATCCAGCCACTCTGGTTGAGAATGGGTGCGTGTGCGGGAAGGGAAGCTTTCTTCATGGTGTCCCTGTTTTTACATCTATGGATGGGCTCTCGCATCGCATCCTTTCTGGTTTCTTCATATTAAACAGTCCAGCTTCTTTCTTTTCTCTTTGCCAACCATCCAACCAACTACCCCTGTGTACCTCCAACCGACCAGCTTTGGCGACCCCCTTTTGTCCTTGAGGGCGCATCGCCTCACCATTGTCTACTCGAACTACACTGATGTGAGCCTGCCTCCTTTCCCTTCCATATTCCAGTTTCACCAAGACTCTTTTGCGATGCTTTCTCTCATCCCTTGCACCTTAGGACCATGCGCACCTGCCCCTGCATTTATTTGGCAAGCTTTGGCGCCTCTTGCAAGTCACTCGGAGTAAATGTCACCTTTCTTATCCTTCTGCACACAGTTTTTTTCTTCCTCTCCAACTTATCCCGCTCTTTTGGCCCCACTCCACTCCCCCTCTACCCCCTGCCTACCTCCTCCGCGGCTGGCTGGCTCTCCAGTTCTCGCAAGTGACAGTGAAGGCATTTCGCCTGCTCTTGGTGGATGACCGCTTCCTCAAATTCTCCCAGTCGGAGGTTCGCACACTTCCCTCTATCTGTTCAGTTCAAGCCGTTGCACTTCTCTTCATCCTACCAGTCACAGTGACACCATGTCATCCACTCCACCTACATCCACTCTCAGACAACCAGTTTTTCACTTGTTCTCCTTCTTACGTTCCTTTAATGGCTGGCTCTCCCCACCCCCCTCTTCACCATCTTCCCACTCACTTTTCCTGATGCCTTCTTTTTTAAATCTCCAGCTGGCCCTCGTCGAGACCAACAGCTCGCGGGCCAAGCCATCCCCCACCGCACCTTCCGCATCCACCCGCCTCTCCACACCCCCCAACCACCCCCGCCCCTACACCACCTCCCTGGGGGGCGAGTCCGGACAAGGCCTTGGGTGCGACCTGGACAGGTCGTTTCTGGTGAACGTGGTGATGAAGCAGGAGGGCACAACGGGCGTGCAGGTGGTGTTTGAGCGCACCAGCATCGTCTGGCCGTTCTACACGGACCTGTCTCTCGTGTGGGAGTTTCTGGAGGTCGTGGCCGGGTACTTTCAGAAGCCGGGGTGTGCGCTCGGGCCTGCCAGCCTGCAGCCAGATTCGTGGCTCATGGTCAACATCCTGCTGCACGTGAGTAGCAGGACCGATTCTTGCTCCTGCAACACTGTTTTCGAGCAATGGTTTTGAACCCGAATTTGTCAGCTTGGATTCAAGTCTCACCAGGCGCGAGGTAGAGTCCTACGAGAGCCTGAGTATGTGTCTGCATTCCAGCAATCGCATTCCCAACTTTCTTTTGTGTCTGCTTGCGGTCTGTTTCACAAATGCTCGACTCACCTTTTTCCTTTCTTTTCCTACACGCTCCCACCACCTCTCATCAGGACTTTGACCTGTTGCTGCCAGTGCCAGAGGAGAGCCTCATCAACGTCTGCCCGCCTCCCTCCAGCTCCCATCCCTCCAGCCCTCCTGCCAACCCTCTTCTTGCGACCCCATCACCAATCACTGCTGACCCTCCAGCCTTCCACTCGGCCCCCTCGCGTATGCCTCCTCCCTCCTCTCCGTCTGACCGCTTCTACGATGCTTCGGAGGCTCTCCCTGCCAACCGACGCAGCGGCAGTGTAGTTGCAGGTGCTGGTGGTGGTGCTGCTAGCAGTGGCTTTGGCCGCAGTGGCAGTAGTGACAGCGGGAAGTTTGAAAGTGCAAGGAACACGTTTGAGGAGCCAGTGTGGGTGCCAGAGCTGCAAGTGTGGAGCGACGATGTGGATCTCTTCCTCTCAGAGCTCAAAGCCCACGGGCTCAAGATCAGGGGACAGACTTTGCGAGTGGGGCATTTTGCAGGAGGGGACAGGGAGAGCAAGCTCCTGGTAGACTTTATCCGCGTCAGCAGCGTGTTCGTACACCAGTCTCAGTACTTTGCCCCTCACGATGTTCTCGGGGAGTTCACTGCTCAGCTGCTGTTCAGCCAGCATTCGCCCAAGTGCGTCAGTCGGCAGGCCAGCCTGCTGTCGCTGCACATCACACCTGATCTCCATCCATCGCTCTCCTCAACTGCACCTTCTCCGTCTGCTGCTTCTGCTGCTTTCCCTGCCTCCGTCACGGGAGGGCAGTCCAGCAGCAGCGCCTTCAAGTCTGGCCGTCTGCCAGTTTTCTTTGTTTTCTCTGTGAGTCCATTTTTCTTCTCCACAGCGCCTCTTTCGTTTCCTTCTTTACCAGAGCATACATTTCACGTTGCCTATGCATTCTGTTCTTCACCCAGCCAACTCTCTGCACCGTTTTCACTTTTCAACCCTCTCACCTATTTGACTCGCTGGTTCTCACCCCGAGCAGCATCTCGTGGTCCTTAGCTCGTTCCTTCGAACGCTCAGCATCCGCCTGAAGCGGAGCGAGGGCAACCTGCTGCATCAGAACCTCGACCTGTATGGGGACCCTCTGCCACCCGCCTTTGTGCCGTCCAAGCTGGCCGTCAACCTCCAGATTCACGAGCTCTTTGTCGCTCTCATCGACGACAGGTGAGGAGGAGGAGCTTGGCCATGGCTAGTCGTTCATTTGTTGGTGCACGCCTCTCACACACACATGCACTGGCACTCAACCGAGTCCCATGCGCCTTGTTCATTTTCTACCCCCCCCACCCTCCCCTTGCGCCCCGCAAATCTCCCCCCTCAACCCCCCCCACCACCCCCCCCCCCCCCCCCCCTCCCCGTGCTCCCCCCCCCCCCCCCCCCCGTGCTCCCCCTCACTCCCCTCCTGCCATGCAGGATGGGCAATCCCACGTCGGTGCTGGAGCTGGTGGCGAAGGGCATCATCTTCAGCGCCACCAGCCAGATTCTCACCGATGGAGGACCCGAGCTGCTCTCCTGCCGCCTCTCCCTCACTCTCCTCTCCAACTTCCTCAACTCCGGCTTCGAGGTCCTTCCTTTCCAACTGCCTCTTTTGTTTTGTTCTCTTGTATTCTTCGCTCTATCTGTTCTTCTTCTGCCATTCTCTGCTGCTCATGCCCCTGCACATTCGCCTTTTGTCCCCCTCCCACCGCCACAGATCATGGAGCCAATGACGGAGTCCTGGAAGTTGGGGGCGGATGTGAAGTCCACAGGCAACCACGTGACAATAGCCGTGCAGTCACACCAGCTGCTGAACGTCATGTTCACGCCCATGCAGCTGCGCTCGCTGGGCGACGCCCTCAACTTCTACTCGCTGCTCTCCAACTCGCTGTCCGTGCTGCCGGGGGGCAGCCTGCACGGTGGAAGCGACCGTGACGAGGTAGGTTGGTTGGTTCGGTACAGAAGGTGCTATGCATGCGTGGTGTGTGTGCGTTTGGCTGGCCATCTGTATGTGTATGTGTGCTGTGCTCTATGTATGGTGCGGCGCTGCCTTTCAGTCATCAGGTATCATGGGTGGGTCTGCCCCTCGAATCAGCCCTTGGCATGCTTTCTTCTTGTCTTCATTCTCTTCCTTCCTCTCGCCGTCTATCTTCCCCTGTCCGTCACTGTCTGGTTCCTTCCTCTCCACTCTGCAGGTTGGTTCTTTAGCGTCCTCAACAGTTCATGGCGGATCTGTTCCACGTGCCACCTCCGCCCGGATGACAAGAGTGAGACATAATACCAGGCTGGCTGGGGGGAAACAGGGCGGGGGAGGTTCATGGAAGTTAGGGAAGGTACCTATGCTTATTTTGCCTGCCTTGTCGTGATCACTCCCCCCCTTCCCCTTCCTCTGAACATGGGACCTGAACCAGATTTTGGAGGAATCTCATAGCTTAGGAAGTGCTTGATTTGCTTGTTGCATTGTTTTCTATAACACCAGCGTCTGTCCTCCTCTCCATGTGACTCCCTTCAGGCAATGAGCATGCTGAGGGCACGCGAGTATTTCCCCAAGTCCGGAACCCTTGCAGAGGTACACTCCCTTCATCTGACCCTTGTACATTAGATGTTTCTGCTGTCGCGTTTGCGCTGCTGTATCTCTCCACCCCTCATCCCGTCATCCCATCATCCCCGCATCCTCTCATACCTTCTTCGCCTCAACCCTGAATCCGCCACCACCCCTCTCATCCATCCACGAGCAGACGTTGGAGGCGTCACTGCAGGAGGTGGCGGTGGGAATGGTGAGCTACAGAATCGTCAACCTCTCGGGCCACACTCTCTACTACTGGACTGGTGCGTGCTGCGTGAGCTTTGAACCCTGCCTGGGTGGCTGTGTCTTAGTCTTATAGGCACTATAATTCGGACCAGAAAGGCTCTGACTCACAGTTGGCACGTGACCGTTCATGATTGCGTTTGTTCCGGATGTGCAGAGAAGGATGAGGAGAAGTCCAAGACGTACTCAGTTGAGGAGGGCGAGGAGCAGGTGCTGGAGGTGCAGCCGGTGCAGAAGGTGGTCACTCTCAGAGACACGCGCAAGATCCTTGCGCGCACCATTTGTGTCAAGCTCAAAGGGGACTGGCTGCCAATGAACGACATAGTCATGGACAAGGTAAGCTTCTGTCATCTGATTCTCAGCCTAAAGTTTGCACCCCAAAAAGCAAAAGACTGGGGTACGTGTGAGCTCTTAAACTGGCCTCAAGGGGGACTGGTCACTGGCTTGTGACATGAACGACATTGTCATGGACAAGATGAGCTGTTTTTTTTATGCACCATCACTGGTTTGACTAAATGCTTTCTCAACCGACATACTAACACAGAACCCACCTCCGCGCGCTCCCCCCTGCACCCAGGTGGGAAAGTACGTGATGGACCTGCGGCTGCCGGGGAGCACAGTGGTGCTGCCGGTGGTGTTTGACGTGACGCTCAAGTCGCGCACCAAGATCATCACCGTGCACTCCACCATGCACCTCCGCAACAACATCGACGTCCCCCTCGTCTTCTTCGCCCTCCTGCCCAGCCCCAAAGAGACCGGAGTCGAGACTGCCAAGTCCTCCTCGCAAGTCAAGAAGTTCTCGCTTGGTGGGTCGCTGTGTGCTGTTGCAGTGCTGCTTTTGCGACGCCGTTTCTGACACAGTATTCTGCAGCTGTTGTATGCCAATAAGCTTTGTTGTTCTTCCTTGCTTTTCTCTTCGCATTGATCAAGTCGTGGCCTTAAACAATGTGCTCCCCTCTTTAGCTGTCTGGCTGTCTGTTATCCTTCTTGAGTAAATTACTGGTTCGTGCATATGTGTGGTGCGGATACGCCTCCATGCCGGCGTGCCTTCCCTGTGCAGGCCCCATACATCCTGAGCATGACATCTTCATGCCCATCTTTGCAGCTTTGGGAGGCCAACTCATGGCTCAGGCACAGGTGTGTGATGGCATGGGTGCGTGATGGCATGGGTGCGTGATCGCATGGGTGCATGATGGCATCTCATGCACAAGTCCATGATGGCATGGCTCCATCACCCTTGGATGAACCTGACATGCAAAACTTCTTCACTTTCGCTTTGTCATTTATCCACCTCTCCGTGGCCCTCCATCTCTCCCCTTCTTTCCCCACTCGCCCCACTGCCCCCAAAACACCGCAGGGCTTTGCGCGGGCAGAGAAGGACGTGGTGGCGCTGGATCCAGAGCACCTGCTGGAGCAGCAGGGCCTGCTCGAGTTCCCCATCCTCAACCAGGGCACGCGTTCCCCGCTCGTGGGCAGAGGCAGCAGCGGCGGCGGCAGCAGCAGCAACAGGCTGCTCAGCCGCTTTGGGAGCATGACACGGAGGCATAGTGACGGCGGGGGGAGCCTGAGACTGAGTGAACTTGGGAGTGTGAGGAGGGGGAGCATGGCGAATGGAGGAGAGGATGAGTTTGATAGGGGCAGTGATGTGGGTACATCGGAAGAGGATTTTGACAGTGCGAGTGATGTGAGGAGGCCGTTCTACTGCTGTCTGCAGGTCATCTCAGATCCTCTGGCACACAGTGCGAGCAACGGGCTGTATGAGGAGTTCACGCTGTCCTTTGTGCCCCCTGTGGCCATTCAAAACGGGCTGCCATACGACTTGGAGGCGTTTGTGTGGGACGTGGAGTGGGGCACACGACACATTGTCTACGTCCCTTCTGGTCAGTTCCCTCTCCTATTGCTACTGCCACTGCTGTTTCTGCTATACTGCAACACATGTACCCTGTGGCTGCTAGTGCTGCTACTACTGCTTTCTGTTGCTGCTCTGTTTTCTTCTGCTGTCAGCCTCCACACATTCGCCTGGCTTATTTCTCACCGCTTGTGTCGGCCCCTCTCCTATCAGGCGAGTCCCGAGACCTCTATCACGTCAGCCTGGACCACACGTTGCAGATGCACATCGCGGTGAGCCTCTTCACCCCCTGAGAGCCCTGCTGAATCTGTGCCGAGCAGATCGTCTTAGATTAGTGGTGTGGTGTATGTATTGTCTTGTTGAGCCTGTGATTGATTGCGAAGAGTGCAAGTGGTGGTCCTCCTGATGCCGTATGGACCCCTCTTGGGTCACCTCGTGTTGCCTTTTCATGTTTCCGTTCTCCCCCATGTCCGGTTATCTCTCTTCTGCAGCTCTTTGTGCCAGGGGGGGAGTACAGGACGCGTCGCCGATACCCCATCCACTTCCCTCCCAAGTAAGATCTCCTCTCAGCCGTTGAGTCCCATCCACTCCTCTCTCTTCATCAAGCGGTCATCTCATCCTGCTCGCTCCTCATGACTTCACCACGCCACGTGTATGCATCCCGTACTCATGCCCGCACCTCACTCCCTCACCCATTTCATTCCCCAAACCCCCTCCTCTCTCCCGCCCACCCCCCCACCCCCCCTCGCCAGCCCGTTGCTCCAGAAGCAGTTTGGCAGCCGAGCTTTCGCCTACGACGTCCGCACTCTAAGCCTGGCCGTCAAGTGCCGCCTCTTCCCGCAGCACTCCCCTGCAGCCTCGCCCATCACACTCTCCATCGACAACCGCCACAACTGGCAGTCACGCAACCGCAGCATCGCACTGCTTGCTCACTACTGGGTCATCAACCTCACCAAGTTCCGCCTGAAGCTCTCCACTGGCTCCTCAAAGAATCCCCTCGACTGCCCGCGGTATCAAGAGGGCCAGCCCGCCTTGCTGAACGTGCGCCGGGGGGCTATCACGGCGATCAGCCTCGATGGCTATCATTGGTCGAAGTCGATTTCGATAGATTCTGTTGGGATCAAGGGGTCGGTTGCGGTTGCTGGGCCTGCGTCCACCATGCTCCCACAGAACCACCAGCATCACTCGCAATGGCATCACGAGGACTCTTCACCGCATGCTGAGTTGCTGCGGCAGCAGACGGCGGAGGAATGGGAGAACGTGGTGCAGCTGGATGCTCCTGCTGGCGCTCCCTCTCGCCACACCACCTCGTCCATGTCACCCTTCCCAGTATGTGTCCCTGCCAGGCAGTTTGAGTACGAAGACAGATGCACAAACACTCCATGCCTCCTCTGTGTCCCCTTCTCCCCTTCGCCTGTCTCCCTTCCTCTTCAACCCTCCACGTACACGCTGCTTCAGTTGCTCCCCCATTTCCTTCTTCAGCTTCTCTCCGCTCTTTTCGCCACACTTGCGCCAAATCTGGCTAGCATTCATTCCGAACGAGCTCTTACCCCAGATGCACATCCTTCCCTCCACGCCCACCCTCCGCAGGCCCTGCGGCGATTCGAGTTCGGGGTGGAGGTGCGGCTGGCGCCGTCGCTGTGCGAGGGCACGAAGCTCGTCATCATCTCGCCGCGCTTCATGGTGTCCAACCAGACCGGGCAGCCCATGCAGATCGCTCAGATCGGCACCACCACTGCGCGGGTACGTACATAAATTCGTGACTTTTGAGTCGACTCAAAAGTTGACTGGGCAGCCCATGCAGATCGCCCAGATCGGCACCTCCTGCCCGGGTGCTTGCCTTCTTCTTTCTCCTTGGCTGATAGACCCTCTGCTGTATGCACCAGCGTCAGCATGGCACTTTGCTTTTCTCCCCGTCTGGGTTCAGAACCCCCACTCACTACACTGCGCTCCCCTGCTACATTTGCCGAATCTCAATGTTTGTGTCTGTGGCTTGTTCTGCTCTGGCAGGTTCTGGCGGACAAGATGCGACAGCCGTTCCACTGGGATGACGAGAAGCTCGGGACGTACCTGGTGGCTCGGTTGCTGAGCAGCGATGATGAGGAGGAGGATGACTTGGCTGATGGTGATGAGGAGGAGGAGGAGGGGGAGGAGGGGAAGGAAGGGGAGGAAGGGGAGAAAGGGGAGGAGGAGGATGAGCACAGCTCGAGTTCTGATGAAGAGCATAGTGAGGGGGAGGAGGAGGACGGGATTGGAGAGGGAGCGAGAGAGAGTCACGTAGCAGGTGAGGTAAGTGGGATGCAGCGACTGAGGAGGGACTCAGAGGATTCCCACGTGTCGTGCGAGTCGACGAAGGGCAGAGAGCAGGTGCAGGCAGGGGTGGGCAGCATTGGTTCTGGAGGAGATGCTGATGGGGTGGAAAGCAGCTGTGATAAGGTGATGGGGTTGCCAAAGGGAAAGGAGAACGCAGCAAGTGGCAGGTTGCAGGGTAGTGGTAGCGACAGGCAGCAGCAGCAGGCCCACAGTGGTGCCATTGGCAGCAGCCGTCAGCAGGTGGAGAGCAGTAGCAGTCAAAAGGGGGATGGAAGCCACGAGAAAAGGGAGGATGGAAGCAAGGGCGGCAGCAAAGGCGGGACTGGATCTCGAAAGAAGAGTGCAGGAAAGGGACGGGGGAGCAAAGGAAGGGAGATGGAGGTGGATTGGGAGTGGTCTGGTGCGTTTGATATCGACAAGCCGGGTGAATCTGCAGTGCGTATCAGGCACAGACGCAAGAAGGGCAAGTACGCCATCCTCTCGATTGACGTCTCACTGAACGGCGCCTCTGCTCTCGTCACGTTTGACGTGTGCAGCTCCAAGCACAAGCCTCCGCCCTATCGGTACGTGCAAACCTTGCTAGAAATTTTGCAATTGTTTTTTAGAGGATCCAAAAGTATGTCCGCCCTATCAGTGCGTGCTGCCCTTGTTTCCCACACATGCTGCCTGTAGCATGGTGCGTCCTTGTGTCAACGCTCCAGCAGAACAGCTCCTGCCTGATCGTGTCTTTATGCAACTCGTTCGCTGCGTGATCTGTCGTCTCTGCTCTGCTTATCCTCATCCCATGGCGTGGCAGCATTGAGAACCACTCAGCCTTCATGAGCATCAAGTACGGGCAGCTCACCACCCCCACGCGGCAAAGGCTGCCTCCCAACCGCTCCACCAACTACGCGTGGGACCAGGTGTGCGCTCCTCAAATTGCCTCCAATATCTCTCAAGTAGCTTAGGTGCTGTAAGGGGACGCAACAAGTAAGTCGATTTTCCCTCGTAAATATACTGCTGCGGTCATACTCCTGCTCTGCACTGCCCTCTCCCCCCTTTCCTCCTGCCAGCCGCGCATGGCCCAGCTGCTGCAGGTGGAGATCGAGGGGTTCGGTGTGACGAGAGAGTACGATCTGGACGGCATCCGCGAGCTGCCCACCATCATCCTCTCAGAAGACGACTTCACTGGCAATGCGTCGCTGAGAGACAGGTAAGTTTGTTGTTGAAGTGATATGCTTCTTCTAATGAGGAACAGCAATGAACTGGGGAGAGTACGACCTGGGCGGCATTCGCGAGCTGTCCACTATCATCTTCTCAGAAGACGACTTCACTGGCAACGCATCGCTGAGAGACAGGTAGGTGGGTCCGCTGGTGAAGTGACACCAACTGATGATGAGTAGGGAAAGTGAGGAATGGGGAGGAGGGTGTATGACCTGAACAGCATTTGAGAGCTGCCCCTTTTCAGTCACACGACTCCTTTCCTTTCCCCCTTCTCACCCCTCCCTATGCGCCCTTCCTTCTCCTCGCCACGCTCCTATTTCTTGCCCATCTCGCCCCACAGGATGTTTGTGATGGTGGGGACGCAGGCCCGAGCGGTGGCAGCACTGTACGTGAACGTGTATGCAGATGGGGCCACCAGAGTACTCTCCTTCTCCGATACCAAACACACCTCCAAGTGAGCACCTTCATTCTGTCAACTCCACATGACCGACTTCGATGTTGTCCTCTTTCCACTCATACCCTATAGGAAGCATGCTTTCTGTGTCTCTTTGAGATGTCTGTAAGCCCGTTAATGCGTATCTGCCTGCGCTGCCTGCAGCAGGGTATCAGACAAGGACGTGCTTCGATACCACACAGATTCATTTGTCGTTGTCTGTGAGCCCGCTCCTGATTTCAAAATAATCAGTCGCGTTCAAGCTTATTCATGTTCATCCACCTGTGCTGTGTGCAGGGTATCGGAGGAGGACGAGCGCACCACGCTGCAGGAGAAGCTGCAGGTGACGAGTGAGCGAATCGATTTCGCCCGCAAGGTGCTGCAGCGCACTCGTGCTCTTGCAGGAGACTCTCCTCTGGATGCTTCGGAGGCCAAGGTGAGCCGGTCTATGCGAAGGTTCGTAAGTAGGTTGACGTGATTGTGCCGTACGGAGCTGAGCCTTGTGTGCAGAAAATGGAAGCGAGGTATATCAAGAGTTTACGTGGTTGAAAACGAGGTTCAACCACGGTGTACAACCTGTCTGTTAACGTGGTTGGACCTTCCGATCAACACCCATGATCATAACCTGTGCTTGTCACCACCCATTTCCTGTGGTTGTCTGGTCATGGTGCAGCCATCGTACTTGGAGTCTCCTGAGTACAGTGCTGCCATGGCCAGCTTCACACCCAACCAGCACCGATCCACGCCCTCTGTGAGCAGCGCCTCGTCATCTGGTCGCAGCGTCATGCCACTCGGTCGCAGCAGTAGCGCCACTCCTGCCGCCGCATCCACAAGCACCAACCCTCCTCGCTCAATCGTAACTGCTGCTGGCGCTGGCAGTTCAAAGGAGCAGGTTTTCTCCAGTGCAGATTCAGAGGGCTCCTCCCCTCGCACTCCTCCAGAGACTCTCCGAGTGTTTACTGGCAGCAGTCATGATCCTTCTCATGCCAGTGAAGCCGTTGGTGATCCAGATCCAGTGACCACACCGTCCAGGAGCCCCCTCCAGAGAAGCTTTGCCCTTTCCTCCACTGCAGCAGCTGCTACTGCCAAAGAGGCCCGGGCTTCAGGCCTTGCTAACTGCAGAACTGTGAGTGACTCCTTTGATGCCTCTGTTGAGCACGTGAAGTCGCAGCCAGGCAAGGCAGGGCTCCGTAGGAGCAGGAGTCAAGAGGCAGCGGTGTTGCAAGTGACCAAGGCAGGGGCAGGAGGAAGTGCCAGCTCTGGGGCTGATTCAGGCGGGGCAGCAAAGCTGAAAGGGCAAGAGGCGCTTGACTACCTGTACCTCCCTGCAAGCGCGGCCGCAGTGCCTGATTATCCGATGAGACTGGTTGAGGCAACAGCATATGGCGTGCAGGCAGGAGCGCAGGTCGTGAAGGCAGGTATGGAGGTGGTGGAAGGGGTGGGGGAGGTGGCAGAGGAGAGGTTGAAAGGGAATGTAGGGCCACGCTTTGGAGCAGTCAAGTCATCAGCTACTGAGGTGTTGGTAGGGAAGATTGTGGGAGGGGCCAGGCATGTTGAGTTGGCAGCAGCAGAGGCGAAAGGGATGTTGAAATCAGCAGCAAAGGTGCTGTCAAAGGAGAAAACGGACGGGCCAGCAGCTGCAGAAGCAGAGGAAGGGGTGAGTCAGGGGGAGGTAGCTACAGAGGCAGATACACCAGAAGCAGCAGATGCAACAGTACGTTTAGACACTTCAACTGCAGCTGGAAAATCACAGGGTGCCCCAGCTTCAGCCGCTACGGTTGGAGGGCTAGATGAGTCTGACACCTGCGCATCTGCCACTGCTTCTCCTGGCTCATTTGCTACTGCTGCTCCTGGCGCATCTGTTGCTGCTGCACCTGGTGCATCTGCTGCTGCTGCCCCTGGCGCGTCTGCTGCTGCTTCCCCTGGCGCATCTGTTACTGCTGGCATTGTGTCAGGTGATGGTGATGCTCCGATTGGTGCTGGAGGGGGCCGGTGGCAGAGAGTTAAACAGCGACTGGCGTTCATGAGTCTGGGCAAGGGGAAGGAACAAGCACATCTGCCGGAGTCGAAACAAGATGAGAATGATGGTGAGGACATGAAGGGTGTGTATGGTGGGGGGGGAGAGGATAGGAGGCCAGAGAGGCTGGTTCAATGGGCCAGTGGGGAGGAGAATCACAAAGGACTTGAGACGGATGAGGTTACTGAGAAGGCAGGGAGCCTTTCACGTGTGAGGGAAGAATCAGAGGAGGAGATGAATGAGGGAGGGGATGAAGGAGTGGATCAGGGTAGCTGCAGTGATGCAGGCAGAGGACGGAGTGCAGTCATGGATGCTGACGTGACTGATAGTGATGCTGGGAGAGGCGGTGGTGATGAGGCAAGGAGAGCTGAGAAGGAGGAGAGTTTACGTATTGTATATGCTGGGGTCGAAGGACAGGCAAGTGGAGCGCAGAGGGAAGAGGGGCAGGGGGCAGACGCAGCAGAGGAACAGGGCCAAGGGGAGGAAGCCGGATGCAGGAGCGGAGAGACGGAGGGGGTTGGAGGAGGAGGAGGAGAAGGAGGAGGAGGAGGAAGAAGTGAGAGAGTGGAAGCGCCAGTGCCTGCATCTCTCCTTGGTTCCTCATTGGCTGCTGCTCGCTTTGTCCTGGGGCTGAAGAGAGGCAGGGCCAGGCGTACAGCTGGCGCCAGTGTTGGAGAGCGGCGTTCTGAAGTGACACGTGCTGATGTTGTTGCTGAGGCACAGTCCCATCCTGCTGCTGATTCTTTTTCCAGTTCTGCGGTTGCTGCTGCAGCAGCGACACCAAATTCTACCTCTGGTGCTGCGGCTGCTGCTGATAGTGCGGCTGCTGCAGGCGCTGCTTCTGCAGCTGTTGCAGAGACTGGCGATGCAGATGCCAGCTCATCTGGTTCTTGTGCTGCCATGGATTACGACGAAGGGCATGCACGGGATTGCACTGCTGGTGGTGCTGCGGACGATGCTGATCTCACTGACACTCATGTTGATGCCCATCCCAGTCAGCATCCGGAGACTAGCACTTATGGAGCAGCGAGTTCAGAAAATGTTCCTGCCTCAACCACTGCCGGGGCTAATTCTGCCTCTGGCGTCCCAGCCACAGCTGCTGCCACTGAGCCTGCTGCAGGTACTGACGCTGCTGCCACTGAGCCCATTGTAGCTACTGCTGGTGGATCTTCCACTGCTCCACCCACTGTAGCGACAGGTGCTGCTGCCATTGCAACCCCTGTGGCGACAGGTGCAGCTGCCTCTGCACCCGCTGTGGCGACAGGTGCAGCTGCCTCTGCACCCGCTGTGGCGACAGGTGCAGCTGCCTCTGCACCCGCTGTGGCGACAGGTGCAGCTGCCTCTGCACCCGCTGTAGAGACAGGTGCAGCTGCCTCTGCACCCGCTGTAGAGACGGGTGCTGCTGCCAGGGCGGCTCCTGGATCTACTGCTGGTGCTGCCACAGATAGCAGCAGATCGACAGGAAGCAGGCTCAAGTCCAGCAGCAGCTTCAAAGTGTCATTGAGAGCAGCCGCTGCACGGATCATAAAACCCGCTGCTCCTAAGCCCAACAGACCCAAATTCTCCGAGGTGGTTGCTGGTGCCGTGGCTGGTTCTGCTGCCATGGTCGTCGGTGCTCCTGTGCCCGAGACCTCAGATGCTCCTGTTCCTGTATCCACTGCTGCTCCTGGTGATCCCATGTTGATAGCAACAGTGGCAGCAACAAAGACCGAGCCAACTGTTCACCTGGATTCCCTCTCCTCCTTTCCACCCCTCAATCACAACCGTATCGAAGCCACTCGACCACCTGCTGCATCAATAGCAGACCCCAACACTCGTAGTGCTGCTGCTGCCTCCCTCTCACCCTCCAGCCGCAGCCTGGGCGAATCAAGCATTGGTGGCAAATCCAGCGATAAACTCTCTGCAAATATTGCCAGCGATGCTGTCAAAGTTTCCACTGTCGCTGCTGCTGCCGCCGCCGCTGCTGCTCCTGGTGATTCCGTGTTGCTAGAAACCGCGGTACCAAAATCAGAGCCAGCCATTCACCTGGATTCTCTCTCCTCATTTCCCCCCCTCAATCGCGATCGTGACCGAGCCACTCCCCTCAGCACGCCAACAGCAGACCCCAATGCTCGTAGTGCTGCTGCTGCTGCTGCTTCCCTCTCACCCTCCAGCCGCAGCCTTGGCGAATCAAGCAGTGGTGGCAAAAACAACGATAGACTCTCCGCAAGTGTTGCCAAAGCTTCCACTGCTGCTGCTGCTGCTGCCGTCTCTGCTACTGCTGCTATTGCTGGCACTGCTGCTGGTACTGGCAAGGCGGCTGCTGCTGCTGCTGCTGCTACAAGTGCCTCTGTCGATGTGGCCACAACTGCAACTGGGGATGCAAATTTAATCATTTCTGTGTCTGCCCCTGCAAGTGCTCCTCTTGCTCCTGCTGCAGCCTCCGCTGGCTCTGGTACCGCAGACCACAGCAGTAGTGAGCTGCAGTTACCAGTGAGTGTCCCTCCTTCTGAGTCAGCAGAGTTGGAACACCACAGGTCGCGCTCAACTGAAGTTGCTCCAGCAGTGGCAGACCTAGCGACAGGAGAAGCAGCTGGCGAAGCAGCAGCATCTGAAACACCAGGCACCCCTGCTGTGCATATCGCTGACGATGACCCGCCTTCAAACAACTTCCAACCGTCTCCTGAACTCGGTGCAAGGCCTACCCGAGGCCGTGTGACCTGGAAAGGTGTTGTGGGCCAGGTTGGTGTTGGCGCCACTGCTGCCGTGGTCAACACAGGGAAGAGAGTGACAGGAGCGGCATCAGTTTTACACTCCGCTGCCGCTGCATTCCTAGACGGCACTTCAGAGAAAGTTCAGGAGAAGTTTCACGAGGCCCAGGAGGCCTTTGAGGAGGCAGAGGAAAGGGTGGAGGAGAGACTGGCTGATGAGGGGTTTAAAGCGCAAGTGGGGGCGATGAAGACAGTGCGCTCTATGGAGTCATTCTTTGGGAGACAGGCGGATAAGCTGATGGAGGCCACCCGCGTTCCTGACATGGTCAAGTCTGCAACAGCTGCAGAGCTCCGGGCACACTGGCCCCATGACAGCTTCAGGCTGCCATCGTCGAGAAGCGAGGGGGGAGAGATGGACAGGGAAGGGGAAGGGAATGAGTTGATGCCCGTGCCCACGTTTGAAGAGCTTCAGAGCATGGCGGGGGCGGTAGCAGCTGCTGAGTTGGAGTTTATTGGGCGGAATAGGCAGACTGGATTGGTCAAAAGCGCGAGTGTTGCCGCAGGGCAGATGGCGGCAGTAGCAAGGCGAGGCCAGGATGTGGTTGTGAAGGCCGGGACAATGGTCAAGGGAGCAGTTGGGAGCGCCCTTGCTGCCGGGTCTGAGGTGGCTGTAGCAGAAGGTAAGGCCTTAAAGGCCGGGGCGGTTGTAGCGCTGAATGTTATGGGCGGGAGGCTGGGGGAGATCAAGGAGCATGCGGATCAGGAGTTGCAAGTGAGCCTGGCGGACTGGCGGAGACGAATGCAGGAGGCGGGGATAGGGGTGGAAGAGGAGGAAGACATCAGTGAGTTACGGCAGGAGCGGATCCATCTAGGCAACGAGGAGTACGACGCGGGGGCGATCGTGGGAGGCGACGTGACGATTCACGTGATTAAAGCCATGGATCTGGGGCTCCGGCCGGAGAAGACGCATCCGTACACGGTGGTGCAGGTGGAGGGGCGGCGGCTGCGGTCATCTGTGTGCAAGGGCACGGTGTGTCCGCAGTGGGACGAGCTGCTGGTGTTCAAGGGCGTGTCTACCACGTCCAGCATGGCTGTTTCCATCTTCAGCAGCGAAACCATCGGCTCACATAAGTTCCTCGGCCAGGTGAGCCGTGGAGCAGTTTGCCTTGCCTGCCCTTGCTTCTCTCAAACTAGCTGTACTTTTTTCCGCCAGCCGTTCTTGGTGTGTCCTGTATATTGATCAGGCTCTTTTTCTCCCACCCACTTCCTCCATATGCTACTCCCACCTTGCTGTCCCTCTGGCTTGCTGCCCCTCTGGCTTGCTGCCCTCCCCCCAGGTGGTGCTGCCGCTGGTGGACGGCAGGGCGTTGAACCGTGAGCCCGGGTGGCACAAGCTGAGTCGGCGCACGGCGCACGAGACGGTGACAGGCAGGGTGTTCCTCTCCACGTCTTGGGACGCCACAGAGCTCGAGCTCATGGCGCTGCAGGTGGGTCAGTTGTGCGTGCATTGTTGCACGTGAGGTGCCTTGTGTTGTATGCATGTGTGGTGGCTTTCACGTGCACACGAGACGGTGATAGTCAGCCAGGGTGTTCTTGTTCACGTCTTGGGACGCAACAGAGCTCGAGCTCATGGCGCTGCAGGTGGGTGGGTCCTTTGCGCGTGCATGGCTGCTTGTGTAGATTATTGAGTTGACTAGAAAAAGGAGGCTGGGGTGGCACACCTCCCGAACTCACACCTTTGCCTGAACGCACTGGAGGGTGCTTCTTTCCATCATTCACTCCCTTCCTCTCCTTCTGCCCACTGCCTTTGCCTGTGCGCCCATTGCCTTATCCTCTGCAGCTGCGCGCCTAGGAAGCAGAGCTGGACGCGCTGGAAGAGCGACTGGCACAGGAGAGAGAGGCGAGGCCGTGATGGCAGCAAAGAGTCTCTCCAATTCTCCATAATCCATTCCCTGCTTCCCCTTCCGCCATCCTTTGCCTGTGCGCCCATTCGCCCCTGCAGCTGCGCGCCAAGGAAGCAGAGCTGGACGCACTGGAGGAGCGGCTGGCACAGGAGAGGGAGGCGCGGCCGCGCGAGGCCGTCATGGCAGCAGAGACCCTCGCCAACCCGCACCCGCTGCAGCCCCACATGCCCTCCTCGGGCCTGCGCACGCCCACGGGGGGCCCCATGCTGCGCCGCATGTTCACCCTGCGGGGCCCTGGGGTGATGGGTGCGGCTGCCTCTTCCGTGTCGCCTGCTGTGGTGCAGCAGCTTGCCGCCAAGGGGCAGCTCAAGGTGAGTGTTGGTGGGAGGGAGAGGGGGGCAGGCCCATGCTGCACCACATGTTCACACTGCAGGGCCATGCGCAGGGGATGGCTGGGGGCGTCTCTTCAGTGTCGCCTGCTGCAGTGCAGCAGCATGCCGCTAAGGGGCAGATTAAGGTGAGAGGTGGGGAAGAGAGGGTTGCGTAAGGATACGGGGTCTTCTGTGTGTAATTTCTTCTCGCATAGACACTACCTTCCCTTCCGGACCTGCCTCTCTAGCTTCTTTTCCTGCCCGGGTCCTGGCAGAGCCAGCAGAGTGGCTGCACTGCTTGTATTTGGTTCCATACTTACTCTCACCACGTTACTCACCCTCTTTTCTCATCCGGCCATCTGCAGGTGAAGGTGGTGGAGACAAGACACCTGGCAGTGCCAGCAGAGTGGCTGCGCTCGGCGTGTTTGGATCTTCTCTTCCCTTGGTTTACTCACCTCTCTACTCACTCTCCGCTCACCCTGCTCCTCCGTCCTCCCATCTGCAGGTGAAGGTGGTGGAGGCGAGGCACCTGGCAGTGCCAGCGGAGTGGCTGCGCTCGGTGCACCGGATGCGCGCCTTTGCTGCGCTCTCCGTGGTGTCCCCCTCGGGCACGAGCACGCTGCCTGTCAAGACGCGGGTCATCAACGGCACCTTCTTCCCCAAGTGGAACGAAACGTTCTCCATCAACGATGTCGCTCTCACCTCCTCGCTGCGCGTGCAGGTATGGCTTGACTCAAGTGCTTCTCATTCAGGTGTAGGCTGGTTCAGGGGGTACTGGTGCAGGTTTGACCTGGGTCAGGTGGTGCAGAGTAGTGCAAGCAGTCCACAGATCGGTTCAGCTGGGGCCGGACTCGTGTCACTGCTTGAACGCCTTGACATATTGATTGCAATCAGATGTTCGCTTGTTTCGCTAGCGAATTAAGTCTGCCTCATTTCTTCTCAAGTCTGTCCTTTCCGAAACCCCCCTTGGCTGTTCCTCCATGCCTTCACGGTTCCCTCACCTTCCCAATGCTCACCCCTCCTTTTGTACCATGGCCCCTGCTAATCACCCATTTTCGTCTCACCCGTCTGGTGGCCACGCCCCGCATCCCCTACAGGTGTTTGACAAGCCAAAGCTGGGTAGCCCGAACCTCCTGGGCGAAGCTACAGTGGACGTCACCACCTTCAAGGTGTGGCTAGACACAGACAGGATGCAGATGATGAGAGATTCGGATTCGAATCGATCACTGATTTGAAGGTCATACCAACCCAATCTGTGTATGAATTTGAAAGCCAAGCCAAAGCCACATGGCTGAGAGTCATAGCATGTTCTCCATGTCTCGCCCGTTGCTCGCATTTACGAGCAGCTTGTCTCGCCCCATGCTTTCGTCTGCTCTATTTCAATATACTCTTTGCTATTCTTTGCTTTGTCCCAGGACGGGCTACCACAGTACATGCTGCGGACTCTCAAGCGAAGTGCTGGAAAAGAAGGGGTGCGTATCTGCCTGTTCCTGCCTCCGTTTTCCTTTTTCCCCATTTTCCTTGTGAAGCCATTATTCCCTCCTGGCCTCCTCTTCACCTCCACCCACTATTTCCTCCTCTCTTCCCGTCCCTGGTCCTTGGCTGCTCGTACCATGTGCTTGCCATTTTGACGCATCCCCTCCCAACCTCCGCCTCACCTTCACCCACTATTTTCTCCTCTTCTCCCGTCCCTGGTCCTTGACTGTCCATACCCTGCACCTTGTGCCGACCTCCTGCCGCCCTTCCTTTCCTTCACCTGCAGGAGCAGGAGGCAGTGGGCGGCAGCATTCGTCTTCGAGTGCACTGGATGGTGGACCATGGGAAGAAGGCAGAGGAGAAGACGGGAGTCAATTTTATGGTAAGATGGAAACTTTTCACGCTCTATGTCGGTCTACTCGCTGTGTCCCTGTCCCCATTTCATCCCTCTTTCGGACACCACTTCTTTCATACCTTGCCTCTGTTCAAAGCCGTCTTCCTCCCCAATCTCTTCCTCACCAGCCTCTCCCCTGTTGGACCAGCAAAAGCTCCATCCATCCCTGCCCATTGCCCCACACTTCTTCACCTTCTTGCCTCGCTTCCCACCGCCCCTTCTGCCTGACTCCGTCCATAATATTCCTCGCCTTTTCCCGTCACCCCATTCCCCATCCCACCCCCTCTCTCCCCCCACACGTGCCAACTGCCCCCAGGTGAACCTGCACGGGATGACCGTGTCCGTGGTGGACCGCCTGCCGCGAGAGATCATGCTGGTGCTGCTGGAAGACATCTGCTGCTCCTGGGAGGAGTCGGTGAGCCGCATGCGGAATGGGGGAGTAGGGGGGAGTAATGGGGAGAGGGAGAGAGTTGGCTAGACATGTGAGAGGTGGTTGGGTGGAGGGTGGGTACGTGAGAGAGATCATGCTCGTGGTGCTGGAAGACATTTGCTGTTCCTGGGAGAAGTCAGTGAGCCGCACAGGCACAGGGGGAAAGCGGAGGGTAGAGAGGGGGAAACAGGAGGGGCTGGCTAGGCATGTGAGAGGTGGCGAGCAAGCAGCAGTTGGACAACCGGCTGCTCATACCCACCCACCACCCTTCGCCACATTCCCTCCCCCTTCCCTTCTCCCATCCCTGCCTGGCGCACGGTGTATGGGGAGCAGGTGAAGGAGGTGGCGGGCAAGGTGGAGGTGGGAAAACTGCAGGTGGACAATCAACTGCTCACGGCTCGCAACCCTGTTGTGCTCTCGCGCACCCAGGTCAGAGCCTCGGCTCAGATCTCCCTGTGCTTTCTTGCAACATGCTTGAGTTTCCCCCCCCCCCCCCCCCCCACCCATCTCCCTCTCGCGATTGTAAGAAATATGTTGACTCTCTCACACTCGCGGCACACTGACTTTCACATCAACCCTACAGTAATTCTTCTCTTTGCATTGCCCCGTGTTCTCTCCCTCCCAGGCCTTCCCCGCAGAAGCCCTGTTCATGGAGCAGGGCAAGGAGCTGGCGAACCAGGCATCGCTAGCGAGCATGCTGAGCACGGACCCCAAGGAGAAGGAGAAGGCGTTCGTGTCAGTGGAGTTCACGCGCCTGCTGCAGCACCCCTCCATCGTCTACTACCGCCGCTTTCTCTTCCAGCTTCAAGAGTTCGACCTGGTTTTGGAGGAGGACTTTGTGGACACGGCAGTGGCATACCTGCAGCAGCTACCCATGGAGGACCTGTGGCAGGATAAGGAGAAGCGGGGTGGGGAGGAGGAGGAGAAGAAGCAAGGTGACGAGGATTTGGTGGAGGATATGACCGGGGCTCCCATCACCAAGACTTACCTGGTCTGTGTGGAACCTGAGTTGGAGCGTTTTCACCCTTTTTCTACCCTCTCTCCCCGCAACTTTTGTCCTCGGAAAAAAAACATGATCCAAGCAAATTGCACATACCCCTTTTCCCCTTCCCCTCTTCCCCGTGCCTTTTTTCTCCTTCTCCTCTCTCTCCAGGCACGCGATGCCACCATGGTTTCCCCGATGTCTCGCCGGAACTTAGTTAAGTCGGAGCCGTTGGAGCCGTTAGTGAACAGCAGCAGCTGGGTGGCGGGCAACCAGGGCCTGCGGTGGTACTTTGAGCGCTTCCAGGTGCAGTCCATGCGCATCAACGTCACGCTCGTCATGAACCCCATCAAGAGCGACGCGCCACCGCCCTCTGGCAGCAGCTCCGAGTGGCACCTCCGAACCACTGCGTCTACTGCTGGCTTCCCACTCATCTCGCTCACCCGAGCCCCGCTTAGACTCAACAGGTGTGTAAGTACAGTCCGGTGAGGTGGGAGTAACTCTGAGTTGCACCTCAGGACCACGGCTTCCTCTGCGGAGTTCCCCCTCATCTCGCTCACTCGAGCCCCGCTGAGGCTCAACAGGTGTGTACAACGTGTTATTCTCCATCCTCATGGCAAAGCTCGGCTTCAGCTCCGAGTGACACTTCAGAACCCCTTGAGAATTCTGAAAAGTGATTTCCATATGGCAGCTTGTGCTGAATTTCCCTTGATGTTTCTCACTTGAGCTTTGTTGAGACCCAAACAGGCGTGAGAATGGTCGTAGCACCTCAAGAAACGTGCTTCTCCCACCTTATTGTCTTCCTCCCCAATCTCATTGTCCTCTTCCCCGCTCTGCGTGTGCACCAGTTTGGTGCTGGACAACGCGTTTCAGAACCAGAGCACGCTGCAGACGTACGTGCTGCGCCACTACGGCGTGCAGCTGCTGCAGGGGCTCCACAAGATCCTCGGCTCCGTCGAGCTGCTCGGCGCCCCGGTATGCTCCTCCAGTTTCTTCGTTCCTCCATCGGCTGCTTGCACATATCTCCACTGCATTTCTGATTCCTCCGTCCCCTCTGCGTTCTTATCCGAACGTGAGTAAATATGTGTTGATGCATTTCTGTCCTCCATACACCTCCCGTGTGCCCCGAATGCGGCCTTCCCCAGCTGTCCCTGGTGGACAATCTCGCCACAGGGGTCATGGACTTCTTTGTCGAGCCTGCCTCTGCCACCACGTGAGTGATGCCTTACCCTCCCTCCGCCCTTTTGAACCTTGCATCTCTCGTCTCTTCTCTTTCCCATGCTCGTCCCATGCTCACCTCTGGTAGTGGTGTCCCCATGCTCACCTCTGGTAGTGGTGTCCCCATGCTCACCTCTGGTAGTGGTGTCCCCATGCTCACCTCTGGTAGTGGTGTCCCCATGCTCACCTCTGGTAGTGGTGTCCCCATGCTCACCTCTGGTAGTGGTGTCCCCATGCTCACCTCTGGTAGTGGTGTCCCCATGCCCACCTCTGGTAGTGGTGTCCCCATGGTTTTCTGCATGGACGGACCGTCCTCCTCCCTTTCCTACAAAATTCTTCCAGTTATGAGGGCTTCGTCAATAGGGTGCTGAAGGACCGTGTGTTGTCAAGTCTAGAAGTTTCAAAACATTCTCCCTCTGCCCCTGATCGTATCCACTTCCCCCTCAGCCTCTCTCCCCGGTCTTACCCTCACTCCTCCCCATCTCCCCCCTTCCCCCACCCCTGCCCCCGCGCCCCCCTGGCTGGCAGGCCGGAGGAGTTTCTAAGCGGGGCGGTGAAGGGCACAATGAGTCTGGTGAAGCACTCGTCGTACGGCGTGCTGCACTCCATCATCTCCCTCTGGCTCTGCCCCGAACCTTATCCCCCTCCTCCCTCAATCCCTCTCCTCCTGTGTCTCTCGTCCCCTCTCCCACTTCTCCCTCTCCCCCTTCCCCCTACTCCCCGTCTCCCCTCTCCCCCATCCTTCTGGCTGGCAGGCCGGAGGAGTTTCTGAGCGGAGCCATGAAGGGCACGGTGAGTCTGATGAAGCACTCGTCATACGGCGTGCTGCACTCCATCAGCTCCCTCGCTGGCGGCATCGGCACCGGCTTCGCCAAGCTCACCTTCGACGACTCCTTCATCCAGAGGTACAACTCATTCACACAGAGGGTACACCTGCGGGCGCTGCTAGAATCAGGAATGAACAAAGGTGACCTCTTGCAAGGGGTTTCTTTGAGGTGTTTTCTTTGCAGACAGTTAGGTAAACTGGAGGGCGCCGTCACCACACTCACATGAATGCAGCTCATCTGCCGAACCCAAGCCCTCCACCCAATCCCCTTCCCGTCTCCCCCACCCCCAACCCCTCCCCCAAACAACCCCCCTTCAGGTTCAGCCAGCGGCCAGAGGGAACATCGCAGCAGGTGCTGCGAGGAGCGCAGGACCTGGGGCTGGGCTTTGTGGGGGCCGTCACAGGGCTGGTGCTGCAGCCTCTGGAGGGCGCACGCAGGGAGGGGGCCGTAGGCGCAGTGAAGGGCGTGGGCAAAGGGGTGGTTGGGCTGGTCACCAAGCCGCTGTCGGGGCTGCTGGGGTTTGCGTCGACGCTGACTGAGAGCGCCGGCACGGGGATCCGGGCGATTGGGGGGGATGTGTCAAGGCGGACTGTCCCGCGCATCCGACTTCCGAGCACGTTTGGGCGAAATGATGCGATTGCGGTGAGTCGAGACTGTGGTAAACGTGATCTGACTGATTGTTTATTTATCTATTTCGACACCTATTTTTCTCGTGTTACTCATAATTTTTGCTGCTCTACTTCCATCGCTCCCTCCTTACCTCTGGTGTTGACCACCCTCGACTTTAGCCTCTATCACAGTGAGCATCACTTTCACAACTTCCACTCCCCCAAAACTCCTGCCACCCTTTTCAGCTGGAGCCAGAGGACAGTGTGGAGCTGAAATTGGTGTTAGCCATCCTGGACTTTGGGCAGTACAGTGATGAGCACCTCTTGCACTCCTTTCCACTCCCCCACTCCCTACTTCCCTCCAACTCTTCCCCCCAGCTCGAGCCAGAGGACAGTGTGGAGCTGAAGTTGGTCTTGGCCATCCTGGACTTTGGGCGGTACCGTGACGAGCACCTGTTGGACCATCTGCAGACGTCGGGGCGCAAGGCAGTGCTTTTCACCATTGCTCGCCTCATCTTCTACGACTGCCAGCGCAACGTCTTCTACTGGCAGATCCCTCTTAAGGGTACGAACGTGACATGCTTGTTCCTTCTTTCATAGTTTTGAGGCGTCTCAGAACGCGCGAGGCAGTGCTCTTCACTGTTGCGTGCCTCATCTTCTACGACTGCCAGCGCAACGTCTTCTACTGGCAGATCCCCCTCAAAGGTGGGACCATTACATGCTTGTGAATCTCCGTTCTTTTCTGTACCTATCTGACTTGCACTAATACGTTTCCTGTTCCCTGCTTCGTCCCCTTCCCCTCCCCACGTCCACCCTGGGCGCAGACATAACCTCAGTGATGGGAATGGAGGGGCGGCTGGAGAGCATAATCCTGTACGATGCGGATGTGGTGATTGCAGGCAAGAAGCTTCCTCTGCGCATACCGGCACGCAAGGTCATCAAGACCACCACCCGCGAGCTCCACATGGCGCTCTTAGTTAAGCTCAACAGACACTTAGCCCGCATTTGCGCCGAACTCCCTTCCTCCTCCTCTCCATCGACTCCCCGCCACGCATCCCGTGAGCCTGTTGCTGCCGGCGCTGCTGATTCTGGGTCAATCGCACCCTCTCGCGGCCCCTCTGCTAGCTCCTCTCCTGCTCCCTCTCCCTCCCCCTCCCTCCCTTCCCCGCTCCGCCTTGCTCAATCCCCTGGGAGCGTCTCTGCGGCGAGTGCTGGTGGTGGCAAGGCAGCAGGGAGGTCTGGAGCAGCAGCTGGTGCTGGTGTTGGCAGGAGCAGCAGTGGTGGTGGTGCCTCCGATCGTATGGCTGGGAGGGCGTTTGCATCTGCGCAGAACGAGCAGGAGGAGGAGGAGGATGGGGGGGAGAAGGCAGAGAAGGATGAGGAAGGGGTCTCTGGGTCCGCACGTGTGATGGGTGTGACGGGAGGAGTTGCTGCGGCAACGGGAGCGACACGGTGGAGAAAGCACGCCAATGGGAGAGGTGCTGCAGGCGCTGCAGCTGACAAGGGCAAGTCTCCTGTAGACCAGCCTCACAGCGGGTCTGCTCCAGTAAGGGCTAGGAAAAGCAGCTTCCGCAGGGGCAAAGCCGGAGGAGGAGAAGGGGGTTACAAGTTGGGCAAGCATTGTGTGATACCGGAAGATGCGGATGTGGATTTAGCACAATTGGATCAGGAAGACAGTGATGAAGATGATTACAGGGAGGATGCAAACGGTGTGGTGGCAAGGGTGGTTCAATTGGATAGGGAGGAACGGCAGGAGGTGCGGCGGAATCTGGATGCTATTCTGACGACTTGCCAAGTGGCGAGTGCAAGTGCTGGTGGCCGATCAGACCCTGCTTCAGCTTTGGTTTCTGTGAAATTTCTCGCACTTGCGGCGTATTCTCGTGTACAGTCGCATAGGGCCCACCAGGCCACGTTAGGAGCAAGAGCGTTGCAAGGGGTGCAGAGGGGTGATTCGCAATGGGAGGAAGATGTGTCGGCATTGCTTCGCACAATGGTGGCTTTGTCTGAGGGTGGTGAGACTGGTTCGTCGAGAGACCAGTCTCAGATCTTGGGGACGCTGGAGGCGATCTGCCACCAAGCCATTGGCCGGGTCTCTAGCCACTGATATGAATAAATTATTGTACGGTTCAACTGCATTATGCTTAGCTCTTTAGGCTGTAGGCCACGACATAATTTTGCTAAAAGTTTAGACCTATAAGTAGGTGGGCAGGCAGGGAATTGGTAGGCTTGTATTTAGGTCTAGTGTCCTGTGATTAGTGAATCATTGTACATGTGTACTTTCGAAGGAAGCACTGTGACACGTCAGCCTCGATGTCATTCCAGCCCAGATTTTGTCACGCGACTCCTCAGCCTGCACACTCGTTTTCCCGCCTTCGCCTCAAAGCCACAACACGCGGACTTCTCTCCGCTAGCCTCCTCAACAGAAACTAATTCCCGGGAAGTGAATGGCATACTATACTTGCTCTCAGTGCTTGGGTAGAATCAAGGCCAGCGACCTAAGGTGGTCTGTGTAGGTCAGGCGGTCTTGTGTAGTTTCTTCTTATCCGGACGATCCATGGTCATGCAGTGCAATTAAACACTCTTCGAACTTACTACATCGCATACCATAAGTTTCGTTGATAAACGAACCAGACTGTCACTACTCTCACCCCAGGGGATCGTCGTTCTATGCTCCTGTGAATCGTTCAGCCATTTCCGTTCTTGCCGAGGAAGTCTTATCAGCTCTCGTTTCCTCTTTAGCAACCATCGTCGTTGTTCTCTGCGGTGCCATGACCGCGTGTGCCTGCCTCTCGCGCGTTGCGATCCGTGGTACGACGACGCTTCCTTCCGTCGCCTGCTGCCCGCGCCGACAGCAACAACAATCGCTCTCGCTCCGGAAACACAACGAGCATGCGTTACTAAGCGTCGCGTGCGAAAAACGAAGTCGGTCTCGATATAAAGACGTCGGGGCGGTGGGGTCGTCAACACGGCGGTGTTGCGGTGCAGTGCGGTGCTCCGCCGCGTCAGCCGATGATCCAAGGGCCACGATTCCTTCCGTCGCGACCGTATCTGGCGAGAATGGATCGCTCAAGGTTCGCAGTTAGTTTCCTGCCTTCCTGACTTCCTGCCTTCCTTGATCTCCCTTAAGTCAGCCCTCATCCTCCCCTTCCCTAACTTAACAGAGGGAGGATGAGGGCTGACTGAAGGGAGACGCCACAGCTTTCTCTGACCCCTCACCTCACCATGCCTACCATCACCCACTGTACAACGCACGCAGAACCCGAGTCAAGCTGTGAGGCAGAGGCCAGCTCTTTGAGGCTCCTCAGGAGTGAATACCCTTCGTCCCACCGTCCGCCACCCCACCTTCCTACGCACTAAGCTCGAGTCAAGCTGGCGGGTAGGGTTTGAGGCGCTGTAAAATTGTTCATTTGTGCCTCACCATTCCCACCACCCCACTGGCCAACACGCAGAGCACGAGTCAGGCTGGCGCGCACACGGCAGCGCAGGAGGCGAGTGACGACGATGTGCTGATAGAGCTCAAGGACGTGTACAAGTCGTTCGGCAGCAAACACATCCTCAGAGGCGCGTCGCTCAAGGTACGCTCGTGTCACTTTTGAGCATTTTCAATGGTGACGTGCACAAGTCGTTTGGCAGCAGGCACATCCTCAGAGGCGCGTCGTTCAAGGTGCGTTTTTCCCGTCTGTCTGCCACTCTCTCCGCATCTCTGCATGTCTGTCCGTGTCTGTGTGTGTCGTTGCCCCACCAACACGTTCCTGCCTTCTCCCCCCTTCCATTTGCTCCCACCCACCGCCCTGGATGCATCCGTGTACGGGTCAGATCCGGAGGGGCGAGGCAGTGGGGGTGATAGGGCCGTCTGGCACGGGCAAGTCAACGATTCTGAAGATCATGGCGGGTCTGCTTGCTCCTGACAAGGTAAGAACTTTGTGCTCCTTTGCAGCATGTGCATCCCATCAGGTCCATCCCACCAGGTGCATCCCATCATGTGCATCCCATCATGTGCAGCCCATCGTGTGCATCCCAGCATGTGCATCTTATCATATGCATGCCATGCCATCTCCACTTGGCCCCAACCACCCTCTTTTCCCTGTCTGTCTCTTTCAGGGCGAGGTGTGGATATGCGGCAAGAAGCGAGAGGGGTTGATCAGTGATCAGGAGAACGTGGGCTTGCGGATTGGTCTGGTAAGGCGTTCAATGGACTGAGGAATCGCTTGTTTGTCGATCAGCCTATTCTCTTGTGAATGTGACCTGAGGGTTGTGAAATGTTCTTTCAACTTTTAGAAAGAAAGTTTCTTATTGTAGTGAAAAGCGGTAGTTTCTGATCTTTTTTATTTGTATTTGAAATAAATTCATATCACACCTGTTTGCTCCCCAATCCCTCATCAACTTTCAGGTGTTTCAAAGCGCAGCTCTCTTTGACTCTTTGACCGTGCGCGAGAATGTGGGCTTCTTGCTGTGAGTCACCCGCCTCTCTAGACCATCCCGCTCCTTGTCATATGATTGCCCTTGCCCGTACTTCACGTCCCTGTAAGAGATCCCTTGTCCACTGCGCTCAGCCAACCTGGGAAATCCCCTCACCTCGATTGTGTCACATCAGATACGAGCACTCGCGGCTGTCGGAAGAGGAGATTCGCCTGAGAGTGAAGGACAGCCTCAAGGCGGTGGGACTCAAGGTGAGAGGCAGTGGGGCTCAAGGTGAGCCACAGTGGGCCCCAAAAGGAACAGCAAGTTTTCTCTTTCCTCACTGTCCCGGATCTCGTTTCCTGCTTTTTCCTTTCTGCTACCTCCCCTTCACTCCCACCCCTCATCTGATCTGATCCTCCTGCCACTGCTCTCTTTCAACCCCCTCCCCTCCATCTTATCCTCTTGCCCTGTCTGCCCTCCGCCCCTCAGAACGTGGAGGAACGATTTCCCTCGGAACTCTCAGGCGGTATGAAGAAGCGAGTAGCGCTGGCGCGGGCGATCGTGTCAGACAGCGATGCACCACAGCTGGAGGAGGAGGTGGTGATGTATGACGAGCCAACCGCGGGGCTAGATCCGATTGCGTCCACGGTGGTGGAAGATTTGATTCGCTCGCTCCACGTGGGGTCGTCGGTGCCTGTGCCTGTGACTGCGGAGATCGCGGCTGGGCTGGAGTCGGATTTTGAAACAGAGTCTGAGGATTCAGAGGATGAAGGAGTAGGAGGAGGGAGAGGGGTGGGTGGTGGTGCGGGTGGGAGCAGCAGGGATGGTAGCGGCGTTGGCAGCGTTGGCGGCTCTAAGGCTCGCAGAATGGCATCAGTGTCGTCATACATTGTCGTGACACATCAGCACAGCACGATTCGGCGAGCTGTTGACAGGTCAGCACGCTGCGTTGCATTGACAGGTCTTGTCTGTCTCCCCCTCTCCCTTTTGTCAGACCCCTTCCCCCACCGCCAACCTAGCTTGTGGCAACCCGACCCAGGCCATGGCAGGTCCTGCACCTGTGATGGTGGGATGGGTGGGAATTAAGATTCCAGAACCCGAGAGGGTCATGATGTCCCCTGGGAGTTGACTTGAGGCATCCCAAAAGATGTTTCCAGATGTATTTGGATTCCACTCGCCTGTTCTGAGTGTTGGAATCTGTGTTGCATGCAGGCTGCTGTTCCTGTACGGAGGGGAGGTGGTGTGGGAGGGGCCCACGGAGGAGTTTGACACGACAGACAACCCGATTGTGAGACAGGTGAGGTTAATGCAACTGGTGATGCCTGTGAGATGAAGCCCCTTGCATCACATGTGCCTGTGCTGCTGCATTGTCTTTCCTTATTGCTTGCTTGAATGGTTTTCTTTCCTCTGTTCCTGTGTGTGCTTGCAGTTTGCTGTTGGCAGTCTAGATGGTCCAATTCGCTACTAGTATGAGCTGTTGCAATCTAAGAGCGAAGAGAAAGCTACCCACTAATAAGTGTTTACACTGTAACTCTGTAACCATCACACAGGCGCACATATTGTATTGTGCACTGCATCTCATGCAGTTGCTGCTGCCCCAGGCATTACTTTCAACGTCGTTTTTTAAAGGAAGGTAGAGTAAGGTCCAATGTATACCATTTTACATACAGGTGAAGGGGAGACCACACAGAGCTGACTAAAGAGTTGAAACTACTACCGTATGTGTACATACAGCCCACGCTTCTAGGGTTGTGAATCTACCGTATATAGGTTCACAACCTAATGGCGATAGACAGAAGTCACATTCCCCTATTTGTCCATGCCTTTACAGACCACGTATTCCAAAAGGTCGAACCCTTGACTCCATGCATCCTCCACCACTCCACGCCACCTGGCCCCCATTGCCTTCCCCAACGTTTTCAAAAATGCTGTTCTGAATATCGGCGTATCGTCAGCAGCCACACCGTAATTTAGATGTCTACACCCCAAGGACATGAATTTCGGCGTGACTTTTTTCTCGACCGCATCCGCGTCGTCCATCTGCATGATCGCTTCGCACATGAGCCCGAAGGCGTGCGTCGCGTGCTCCTGCAGCCGCTTGTTCAGCGGCGCGGGTTCCGTCGAGTTGCGCACGTAGGAAAAGAGGTTGCGGCCGTCGGGGGAAATGTCGAAAACACTGGTGAGAGAGGAAAGGGGGTTTGGGAGGGAGGGGGGGAAGGGGGTGGGGGTGTCGGTTGAGGGGGGGCGGCGGGATTGGGGAAGGGAAAAGAGGAAAGGCGGAATGCGGGCAAGGGGAGAACAGGGTAAGGGAGAGGGAGGAATGCTGGAGTAAGTGGGTGAGGGCCGGGTTACACGCATAGCTGCTCAAGTGTTGCGAAAAGCATCTCAGAATTCGCCACACGATGGGTATGAGTGGTTCCGTACATGAGGAAGAGAATGATGGCGTTCTGAAAGGCGTTCGGCTCCACGAACTCGGGATAACAAATTTGTTTTGAGACGTCTCAAAACAAATGTATTATTACGTGGCTATGAGGGGGTGCATACATGAGGAAGAGAATGATGGCGTGCTGATCGGCGTTTGGCTCCACGAACTCGGCGAATGTCTCCCGCACAATCCGGCCCTGTTCCGGTGTCAGCAACGGCGGTCTCTCGCCCGTGGAACTACTGCTTATCGGTGGTCCCGATATAGACGGATCCGCTAACGACGCTCGCATTACGAAGTCCATACTGAAGGTCTGCTTCTCAGTTGAAGACACCCCAGCGCGGTCCGGGTGCGTGAAGTCGTGAGTAAGAGGACGCTGCGTTTCTCGGAGGATCTACGAAGCAGCTCGCGGAGGCTTGTGTGGCTGCGCTGTATAATGAGGAACAAATAGAGCAGGAGGAACGCGGGAAGGGAGAAAGTGGAACGGGACGAGGCGTTCGAGCGAACTGGGAACTAGGAAGAAAGCGCAAGGGGGCGAGCGGTAGAGATCGTTCAGGCTGACTATTGTGGTAATGAACTCTAGTCACACCGAAAGGCTTCTCTCACAAGTGAGTTATGTACTCACTACAAGTTCGAGGTTGAGGGCCAGAGCTTGAGAAGAACCACCGTCCATGGTCAACACTCATCGACGATGGCATGACAAGATCTGTCAGACCCGGCCCGGGGCGGATGTGTTCCCCGGTCGCACGCAACGCATCACCATCTGATCTCACCACCACACCACCAACCAAACCCAATTCTGCTCTGCTTGCCCCTTCGATTCCCCGTCTCGCGTGTGAATTTTTGCACGACTGGCAATTCGGCAAACAGCCAAGAGCACGAGAATTTGTTTTGCCCCAGCGACGATGTTTGTCGGGGCTTGGGCGGACGTCAGCATCCCGCTGGCGTAAACTGCAAGTGACGCAGATTGTGCGCGGGGATCCCGTGGCGGGGAAGACCGCAACTTCATTTGTGCTGTGCTGTGATGCCAGCGCTGCGAAGCGGAGGGGGGATGCGGCGGAGAAATGCACAGCGCAGGAATCCAGCACGCGCAAAAATCAGCATCCAGGATTGCCCCGCCCCCCCTTCCCTTGCCCTTTCGCTGCGAGAAGTGACTACGGCCCCTCGGTGAGCAAAAGGTCTGGAATCCCCACAACTCATTTAACATTTTTGGATATATCGCCTGCTCGGTGACGAGTGTTTCTCGAATGTGCAAGCTCATCTGTTCTAACCTTTACCGAGACACAGTTTCGGAGGAAATTTGCGGAACTGTTTCGCGAACATGACAAGGAGAGGAGAACCCACGTTCTTTGAACAAAAGTCGCAAGCATCGCATCGCAACGGCAATTTCGAGCGAGCAGCCGCGAGTGGGTTACAAGCATCGCCTAGACATAACTTTTTGTTGCAGATGTCCACCAATAAGATTGCTTCGCGGGCTTCACCTTGTTTCTGTCTCTCAACAGGCTTCAACTGGACCGCTTCGGTCAGGCTGTTTCTAAAAAATGGCGGCCATACTTCATCTCTGCCTCCATTTACTTGCTTGAGAATCGTGCACTGAAAGAATGCAGCACGGCATTACTCACAGCCTCTTTTCTGTACTCAGGTTCCTTCGTCGCGGCTGTTAGATACCAAATCATGGATTCTTGTTTTAGTCAATGAAGCTGTGTCAGTTTTGCCGTCAGATACCACGCTAGGCGAGCCGCGAGTGATCAACCTATCGACCAACCCACTCGATACCTATATCAATCTACAGATCAATAGTGTTCTTGGTTGTTCGTAATAGGTAGCTCATCTTCATTACGACATCGAGGGGCTCGACTCGATGTCGTCATCGGGTCACAGAAATGGCGATCTGCACATCGGCACCAGTAGAGACACCACACATATCCTGTCAAGCGGAGCCCAATTCTCTCCCTCCTACTCGCAAGCAACCGGCAGAATGGGAAGCGGATTCACTCTGGCAGCGAGTCACAAGAAGCAGAGCGATGCGATAAAGCAGAAGCAAAAGCACAAGCCAAAGCAACGCCCGTCCTTCTCTCGCCGACCCCCGCTTATGCTTCCCAGAACGTGGCGAATGCTACGGTTTCTCTTCATCGCCTTCGTCATCGCGTTAGCTCTCTCGTCATTCTTGATGTCCGGGATCGCTCCGTTCCTAGGAAACCCTAAAGCGATGTGGGCGTTTCTGACCACTCGGCGAGTGCGTAGAATAGCGTTCGGGTCTGGGACAACTCCGGAGAACACGTCGCAACCAGTGTGGACACGAGCCGTCATTCCGTCCTCGCCTGACGTGTGGATATGGTGAGCCACGTCAGTCCCTTGGGATTGGTTCTTCATGTAACCCTAACCTTAGTCAATGCGGAGAGACCGTTAATCTCAGATGCGATCGTTTTCTTGGAAACCCTAAGTTTCAGAAGCTTGTGGCTTACTTCTTCCTGTTCCATGTGTCATCTGATCAGGCTTGGTGACATGGCTTATCTGGATGAGCCCGAGGTGAACTGTACACGGTGGCCGTTACATCCACAATGTAACTGTACCAGCGACTGGTTTCAACAACGGGGCATATCATGTGTCAGAGGTGAGCACTTGAAGTGTTTCTTCCAGAAAAAAAACCAATTCTGAGCTGTAACAATGCCAAAAGTTGACAACTAAATGCAGAATTCATATATTCTCTAGGAGTTCAAGCACCTCATCCCTGTCCACATTCTCACCTGAACCTGTGCTACCCTCGGTCCCACTCTCTTCTGTTCCCCCCTTCCCCCTGGCTCTCCAGGAAACAGCAAGTATGCCATCACTCGGATGCAGCAGCAATTACAGAACCCAGATTACATAAAAGTATGGCCGCATGCTTGCATTGCATCTCTTGCATTCATGTTCGTTCCAACATCAGCACTCTGCTCTGATCAAGCTCTGTGCGCTGCTCGTGTCGGTTCGTGCTGCTTTGGTGCTCTGCTCATGCTCTGTTGTGTTCTGCTCTTGGCCTGACTGATGGTGTGCTGATCCCTCTGCGTGCTACCTGAGTAGCAGCAACCCGAGCACCACATGAAAAGCGTTCATGCTTTGTCAATGGTTTCTGTCTGTCTCTGGGGGGGAGGATTGAGAATTGGATGTGCTGGGTGAAATGGATCTGACTGGATTCATTTGGATTACGTGGGGGGCATGGGCTCGGTTGGATTGGATGGATGGGAGGGGGGTTGGAATGACCGTGTTGCAGTTTCTGCAGTTCATGTGTCCGCACTACAAGCCGAGCAACGTGACGCCGATCCCCGATGGCTCTGATCCGTCCGCGTGCCCGCGCAGCATCCTGGGCGTGTATGATGACCGGGACTTCGGCTGGTGCGTTTCCCTTCACGCCCTTCCCCACCCACACTCCTCACCCACACTTCTCACCTGCATTCCTCCTTCACACTCTCTCAATTCCCCTTAGCCGATAGGTAGCCCTGTCTAACTCTCACTTGACACCCCCACCCTCACTCACCTCACCCCTATCCCTGTGTGAGCAGGGCGCACGGGTACAAACGACTGATGCACAAGGACCCGCTCAAGACCGTCTTCCTTGACGCCCTGGGCGCGCCCAAAGAGGACCCGCGGCGTGACCGCGGAGATGGCATCCAGGCTGTGGTGAGGGGTGGAGGGGAGAGGAAGGGGCAAAGGAGGAAGGGAGGGAGAAGGGGGATGGAGGGGGGGGGGAGGAGAGAGGGAGATAGAATCCAGGCCGTGGTGAGGGGCGAGTTGGGCAGGAGGGGATGGGAGGAGGAGGGGGGGAAGGAGGAGTGGGGGAGAAGGGCCGGGGAGGGGGGGAAGGGAAGAAAGGGGAGGGCGGCAGAGGGTGTTTGCCTTATCGCTTGTGTCGGTAAATTTCTAGCTTGCGGTCTGCTGCTGCATGTGTTGACCGGCCTATAGTATGATTCCGTATGCCCAGTTTGTGACTTGTGGTTGATAGGATCTCCCCTCCAGCCGTTGCTTACTCTTCATGCAATTGCTCCCCCTCCAGCTTGTTTGCTGTTTCTGCTGACTGACTGATCCTTTTTTCCTTCAATGTTTCACTTCCCCTTCAATCTACTATCGTTGCACGCTCACCCTCAGTACCACCTGAACGAGGCGCTGCCAGGTCAGCAGATAGACGTGTTCCTATTGGACGAGCGGTACTACCGGGAGAACCTGCCGTGCCACGTGCGCCGCGAGTTCTGCTCCTCCGTGATGGACCTCGACAGACCACACAGCTGGCGCTCGTGGTGAGACAGGGGGTCTTGCATGTTGATTGCTATGTTGCGCCTGACGCGTCAGGCGTTTTTACCGCTGGCGTCTGGAAGGGGGCGTCCAGACGCTTGACGCCCGGTGCCCTCTGCCCTGGACGCCCGCTTGACGCTAGTCCGGGCAGGGCAAAAATGTTTTCCGGGCAGGTGTAAAAAAATCAGCAAGATGAGCGGTGCAACGCATGCTACTGGAAACGAAAAAATAAATAATGCTTGTACACGGGATGGTTAGGCATTTCGTCGTACTTGCGTTCTCCCTCCACACCACCTGCAGAAGGCGTGGAGGCACTAACGGAATGACCGGCGGAACTAGGAGTTGACATGATATCTTAATCGCCTTAACCTAATTTTAGCTAGGAAGGCTTAGTAGCGTGACTGGCGGATTCTAGTGCAAGGAATGCTTGGCAATGTCGAGAGAAACAGATCTGTGTAATGTCGACCTAGATCTGGTTCTCTAGTTTAGTTGGGGGTCGACCATGTTGGGAGAAGTAGATGTGGATGGGTACAAATGTGTGGGGGGGAATAAATGAGGGTTGCGTTTTTTAGGTAAAAAACACGGACCCCAGTTGGCAATTTCATCGTCAATTCTGGTCGCGATGAAATCGCGAGTCAATTTCGTGCAGGATTTTTTTTTTCGGGCTGCCCGAACATTTGTTCCCCGAACGTCCAGCGTCAAACCGATTTGACGCGTCCAGCGTCCGGACGTTCCAGGGCGTCAGGCGCAACATAGGTCGATTGGTGCTGTGCGTTGATTTAGTAGGGAGAGACAGTGCGCCGAGAGTTCTGCGCCTCTATGGTAGACCTTGACAGCCCGCACAGCTGCCGCTCGCTGCTCGTAGTGAGAACGAGGGAGTGGGCAGATTGGGGGTGGGAGGGAGAAGGAAAGCGCGGAATGCCGAGTGGAATGGGTGTGGAGAGTTGGACCTTAACAGCCCACCTCGCATGCTAGCACCCTCGCATGCTACCCCCCTCGCATGCTACCTTAAACCTGACGTCAAACCTGACGTCAAACCTGACCTCAATCCTGACGTCAAACACCTGACATGAAACCAGACCAGACCTCAAACCTGACCTCAAACCAGACCTCAAACCTGACGTCAAACCTGACGTCAAACCTGACGTCAAACCTGACATCAAACCTGATGTCAAACCTGACCTCAAACCTGACCTCAAACCTGACGTCAAACCTGACCGCAAACCTCAAACCTGACCTCAAACCTGACCTCAAACCTGACCTCAAACCTGACCTCAAACCTGACCTCAAACCTGACCTCAAACCTGACCTCAAACCTGACCTCAAACCTGACGTCAAACCTGACCTCAAACCTGACCTCAAACCTGACGTCAAACCTGACGTCATAGTTGACCTCAAACCTGACCTCAAACCTGACCTTAAACCTGACCTCAAACCTGACCTCAAACCTGACGTCAAGCCTGACGTCAAACCTGACGTCAAACCTGACCCCAAACCTAACCTCAAACCTGACCTCAAACCTGACCTCAAACCTGACGTCAAACTTGACGTTAAACCTGACGTCAAACCTGACCTCGAACCTGACGTCAAACCTGACATCAAACCTGATGTCAAACCTGACCTCAAACCTGACCTCAAACCTGACGTCAAAGCTGACCTCAAACCTGACCTCGAACCTGACCCCGAACCTGACGTCAAACCTGGCGTCAAACCTGACCTCAAAACTGACCTCAAACCTGACGTCAAACCTGACGCCAAACCTGACGTCAAACCTGACGTCAAACCTGACCTCCAACCTGACCTCCAACCTGACCTCAAACCTGACCTCAAACCTGATGTCAAACCTGACCTCAAATATGACGTCAAACCTGACGTCAAACCTGACCTCAAACCTGACCTCAAACCTGATCTCAAACCTGACCTCAAACCCGACGTCAAACCTGACGTCAAACCTGACCTCAAATATGACGTCAAACCTGACCTCAAACCTGATCCAACCTGATCTCAAACCTGATCAAACCTGACCTCAAACCTGATCAAACCTGACCTCAAACCTGACCTCAAACCTGATCAAACCTGACGTCAAACCTGACCTCAAACCTGATCAAACCTGACGTCAAACCTGATCAAACCTGACCTCAAACCTGACCTCAAACCTGACCTCAAACCTGACCTCAAACCTGACCTCAAACCTGACCTCAAACCTGACCTCAAACCTGACGTCAAACCTGACCTCAAACCTGACCTCAAACCTGACCTCAAACCTGACGTCAAACCTGACGTCATAGTTGACCTCAAACCTGACCTCAAACCTGACCTTAAACCTGACCTCAAACCTGACCTCAAACCTGACGTCAAGCCTGACGTCAAACCTGACGTCAAACCTGACCCCAAACCTAACCTCAAACCTGACCTCAAACCTGACCTCAAACCTGACGTCAAACTTGACGTTAAACCTGACGTCAAACCTGACCTCGAACCTGACGTCAAACCTGACATCAAACCTGATGTCAAACCTGACCTCAAACCTGACCTCAAACCTGACGTCAAAGCTGACCTCAAACCTGACCTCGAACCTGACCCCGAACCTGACGTCAAACCTGGCGTCAAACCTGACCTCAAAACTGACCTCAAACCTGACGTCAAACCTGACGCCAAACCTGACGTCAAACCTGACGTCAAACCTGACCTCCAACCTGACCTCCAACCTGACCTCAAACCTGACCTCAAACCTGATGTCAAACCTGACGTCAAACCTGACCTCAAATATGACGTCAAACCTGACGTCAAACCTGACCTCAAACCTGACCTCAAACCTGATCTCAAACCTGACCTCAAACCCGACGTCAAACCTGACGTCAAACCTGACCTCAAATATGACGTCAAACCTGACCTCAAACCTGATCCAACCTGATCTCAAACCTGATCAAACCTGACCTCAAACCTGATCAAACCTGACCTCAAACCTGACCTCAAACCTGATCAAACCTGACGTCAAACCTGATCAAACCTGACCTCAAACCTGACGTCAAACCTGACCTCAAACCTGATCAAACCTGACCTCATACCTGACGTCAAACCTGACCAAAAACCTCAAACCTGACCTCAAACCTGACGTCAAACCTGACCGCAAACCTCAAACCTGACCTCAAACCTGACCTCAAACCTGACCGCAAACCTCAAACCTGACCTCAAACCTGACCTCAAACCTGACCTCAAACCTGACCTCAAACCTGATCAAACCTGACCTCAAACCTGACGTCAAACCTGACGTCAAACCTGATCAAACCTGACCTCAAACCTGACGTCAAACCTGACCGCAAACCTCAAACCTGACCTCAAACCTGACGTCAAACCTGACCGCAAACCTCAAACCTGACCTCAAACCTGACCTCAAACCTGACGTCAAACCTGACCGCAAACCTCAAACCTGACCTCAAACCTGACCTCAAACCTGACCTCAAACCTGACCTCAAACCTGACCTCAAACCTGATCAAACCTGACCTCAAACCTGACGTCAAACCTGACCGCAAACCTCAAACCTGACCTCAAACCTGACGTCAAACCTGACCGCAAACCTCAAACCTGACCTCAAACCTGACGTCAAACCTGACCGCAAACCTCAAACCTGACCTCAAACCTGACCTGAAACCTGACCTCAAACCTGACCTCAAACCTGACCTCAAACCTGACCTCAAACCTGACCTCAAACCTGACCTCAAACCTGACCTCAAACCTGACCTCAAACCTGACCTCAAACCTGACCTCAAACCTGACCTCAAACCTGACGTCAAACCTGACCTCAAACCTGACCTCAAACCTGACCTCAAACCTGACGTCAAACCTGACGTCATAGTTGACCTCAAACCTGACCTCAAACCTGACCTTAAACCTGACCTCAAACCTGACCTCAAACCTGACGTCAAGCCTGACGTCAAACCTGACGTCAAACCTGACCCCAAACCTAACCTCAAACCTGACCTCAAACCTGACCTCAAACCTGACCTCAAACCTGACCTCAAACCTGACGTCAAACCTGACCTCAAACCTGATCAAACCTGACCTCAAACCTGACCTCAAACCTGATCAAACCTGACCTCAAACCTGATCAAACCTGACCTCAAACCTGACGTCAAACCTGACCTCAAACCTGATCAAACCTGACCTCAAACCTGACGTCAAACCTGACCGCAAACCTCAAACCTGACCTCAAACCTGACGTCAAACCTGACCGCAAACCTCAAACCTGACCTCAAACCTGACCTCAAACCTGACGTCAAACCTGACCGCAAACCTCAAACCTGACCTCAAACCTGACCTCAAACCTGACCTCAAACCTGACCTCAAACCTGACCTCAAATCTGACCTCAAACCTGACGTCAAACCTGACCGCAAACCTCAAACCTGACCTCAAACCTGACCTCAAACCTGACGTCAAACCTGACCGCAAACCTCAAACCTGACCTCAAACCTGACCTCAAACCTGACCTCAAACCTGACCGCAAACCTGACCTCAAACCTGACCTCAAACCTCAAACCTGACCTCAAACCTGACCTCAAACCTCAAACCTGACCTTAAACCTGACCTCAAACCTGACGTCAAACCTGACTGCAAACCTCAAACCTGACCTCAAACCTGACCTCAAACCTGACCTCAAACCTGACCTCAAACCTGACGTCAAACCTGACCGCAAACCTCAAACCTGACCTCAAACCTGACCTCAAACCTGACGTCAAACCTGACCGCAAACCTCAAACCTGACCTCAAACCTGACCTCAAACCTGACCGCAAACCTGACCTCAAACCTGACCTCAAACCTGACCTCAAACCTGACCTCAAACCTGACCTCAAACCTGACCTCAAACCCGACGTCAAACCTGACGTCAAACCTGACCTCAAATATGACGTCAAACCTGACCTCAAACCTGACCTCAAACTTGACCTCAAACCTGACCTCAAACCTGACCTCAAACCTGACCTCAAACCTGACGTCAAACCTGACCTCAAACCTGATCAAACCTGACCTCAAACCTGACCTCAAACCTGATCAAACCTGACCTCAAACCTGATCAAACCTGACCTCAAACCTGACGTCAAACCTGACCTCAAACCTGATCAAACCTGACCTCAAACCTGACGTCAAACCTGACCGCAAACCTCAAACCTGACCTCAAACCTGACGTCAAACCTGACCGCAAACCTCAAACCTGACCTCAAACCTGACCTCAAACCTGACGTCAAACCTGACCGCAAACCTCAAACCTGACCTCAAACCTGACCTCAAACCTGACCTCAAACCTGATCAAACCTGACCTCAAACCTGACGTCAAACCTGACCTCAAACCTGATCAAACCTGACCTCAAACCTGACGTCAAACCTGACCGCAAACCTCAAACCTGACCTCAAACCTGACGTCAAACCTGACCGCAAACCTCAAACCTGACCTCAAACCTGACCTCAAACCTGACGTCAAACCTGACCGCAAACCTCAAACCTGACCTCAAACCTGACCTCAAACCTGACCTCAAACCTGATCAAACCTGACCTCAAACCTGACGTCAAACCTGACCTCAAACCTGATCAAACCTGACCTCAAACCTGACGTCAAACCTGACCGCAAACCTCAAACCTGACCTCAAACCTGATGTCAAACCTGACCGCAAACCTCAAACCTGACCTCAAACCTGACCTCAAACCTGACGTCAAACCTGTCCGCAAACCTCAAACCTGACCTCAAACCTGACCTCAAACCTGACCTCAAACCTGACCTCAAACCTGACCTCAAACCTGACGTCAAACCTGACCGCAAACCTCAAACCTGACCTCAAACCTGACCTCAAACCTGACGTCAAACCTGACCGCAAACCTCAAACCTGACCTCAAACCTGACCTCAAACCTGACCTCAAACCTGACCTCAAACCTGACCGCAAACCTGACCTCAAACCTGACCTCAAACCTGACCTCAAACCTGACGTCAAACCTGACCGCAAACCTCAAACCTGACCTCAAACCTGACCTCAAACCTGACCTCAAACCTGACCTCAAACCTGACCGCAAACCTGACCTCAAACCTGACCTCAAACCTGACCTCAAACCTGACCTCAAACCTGACCTCAAACCTGACCTCAAACCTGACCTCAAACCTGACGTCAAACCTGACCTCAAACCTGATCAAACCTGACCTCAAACCTGATCAAACCTGACCTCAAACCTGATCAAACCTGACCTCAAACCTGACCTCAAACCTGATCAAACCTGACCTCAAACCTGATCAAACCTGACCTCAAACCTGACCTCAAACCTGATCAAACCTGACCTCAAACCTGATCAAACCTGACCTCAAACCTGACGTCAAACCTGACCTCAAACCTGATCAAACCTGACCTCAAACCTGACGTCAAACCTGACCGCAAACCTCAAACCTGACCTCAAACCTGACGTCAAACCTGACCGCAAACCTCAAACCTGACCTCAAACCTGACCTCAAACCTGACGTCAAACCTGACCGCAAACCTCAAACCTGACCTCAAACCTGACCTCAAACCTGACCTCAAACCTGATCAAACCTGACCTCAAACCTGACGTCAAACCTGACCTCAAACCTGATCAAACCTGACCTCAAACCTGACGTCAAACCTGACCGCAAACCTCAAACCTGACCTCAAACCTGACGTCAAACCTGACCGCAAACCTCAAACCTGACCTCAAACCTGACGTCAAACCTGACCGCAAACCTCAAACCTGACCTCAAACCTGACCTCAAACCTGACCTCAAACCTGACCTCAAACCTGACCTCAAACCTGACCTCAAACCTGACCTCAAACCTGACCTCAAACCTGACCTCAAACCTGACCTCAAACCTGACCTCAAACCTGACGTCAAACCTGACCTCAAACCTGACCTCAAACCTGACCTCAAACCTGACCTCAAACCTGACCTCGAACCTGACCTCAAACCTGACCTCAAACCTGACCTCAAACCTGACCTCAAACCTGAACTGAAACCCCACCCTGGCTCGCATGGTACCCCCTTCGCATGCTACCCCCTTCGCATGCTACCTCCTTCGCATGCACCCCCCTGGTGGCCAGGGATGGTGTGTCTTTTTGCAGCGACAACCCGTTGCTCCTCTGTGTTCTTTTGGCCGTCCAGGTCTGTAGCTTCAATCATTTGTTCCTGTCCTGTTCCTGCGTGCAGGTGCGGGGACTTTCTAGGGCGGGAGGTGCCTCGGAATCGGTGGTCGTGCTGTGACAAGGACGAGAAACTCTTCCAAGGTGAGATTATAACGAGGATGAGAAGCTGTTTAATAATTGCATGGTACCGAACAAGGATGTGAAAGCTTCTTAGAAGGCCCGTAGCGAATTGGATGCAATGCAAAGCCAGCAAACACTTGTGCAGCTTGACACCGACGCTTGAGACTAATGCCTCTCAACCAACCTCCATAGCCCCTCCTCTCTCCCCCTCTCTTCCCTCTCTCCCTCTCCTCCCTTCCCCCATCTCCACGCTTTGCCTCTCCCCTCTCCTCCTCCTCCCCCCTCTGGCACAGAGCAGCGTGGTGCGGGCACGAGGCGCACCGCAACCACTCCCTGTGGGAAGAGGCGTGCAGTCCAGCTCACGATGCATTCGGATCGCAGAAGATCAGCGTGCGCAAGAAGGGCAAGGACCCTGCGCTCTGGGACATATACATAGAAGAGCAACCGGAGCCGCATAACTCGCAGTACTGTGAGGTGCTGGGGCGGCAGCAGCGCCTGTGGCTGCAGGATGAGTTGCACGACTCCAGTGCGCCCATCAAGGTCATTGTCTCGCCCTCGCCGCTCTTTACGAATCCGCTGCCGCAGCCCTGCTCGCCGTTCCCGAAGGAGCTCTCCACTGCTGCCACGCTTACCGGGCCGTATGGGTCCGAACCTCCTGATGAACCGGATTTTGCAGGCTCGGCAGCAGCAGCAGCAGCAGCACCTTCTGGTGCCAATGGTTCGGTTTCCGAGCCTCCTTCTACGTCCGTTCCGCCTGTGGCGCCGGTTATGGAGGACCCAGTTACCAACGTAACACAGTGCACGTGCTCGGGGGACGATTGGGAGTGTTACAAGCCGGCACAGCTGCACTTTCTGGAAATGCTCTCGCGGGTCGAGAAGGGGTGTGTGGTGCTGCTGACAGGCGACATGGGGTACTCAGACATCAAGGTAGGGCTTTAAACAGATGCTGTGCCTGTTCCTGTCAATCCTGATTGGTGTTTGGCACTAGCAGCCGGTGGTCATTTTTTGAGGCCACATGGTTGGTTCCTGTAATCTTTTTCCCTGCGTGTGTGCTGCTTGCATTCCTGCTTTCTTTGCGTGCATTCCTGGGGGGTGCACCAGGTGTTCCGGCCGGGGCCAGGGCGGGCATACACAGATCTCTACCGCAGCTCTCAGCACTACCGCCCCATCTACCAGGTCTGTCAGCCCCACGCACTTACCCTTGATTTGACTCTTCATTGCCCTTGATTTGACTCGGAACTTCATTGCTCCTTGGAGTATTACCGCCTCCTCTACCCCTTGCGCCCCACCTTTTTTGCATCGCGCATAGTTTTGTGATGTCAATGCTGTCTCTTTATTTGCTGTCTTGTCTGAATTGGCAGGTCATGGCAAGCGGCTTGACAAGGAGACCACGAATAGACACGTCCTGCAGTCCAGGTGAGTCAATCTGATGTCAAAGTGAATCAGTTTGGAGTCAAGTCAATCAGTATGCAGTCCAACTGAGTCAATCTTTGGTCAAGCGAGTCAATCTGCCGTCGAACGAGACTGAGATCCAGCTGGTTTGGGAATTCTCATTCTCGGCATCACCCACCATCTCTTCTCTTGGGCATCATCATCTCTTTGCTTGAGCATCACCCAACCAGGCCCCTCCGCTCCGCTGTCACCCTCTCTAGTCAGACCATCACCTCGCAAACGCATCTCTTTTGAGAGCGTTTTCCGAGGTGCCTCAAAAACAAAATCATAGGAGTGGGAGGGAGCACGCAGCTTCTTTGGAGTGCTCATTCCCTGTGGCTGTGTGGCTGTGTGTGTGCGTGTGTGCGGGAGGGATGGGCAGGCAACGCGTGGACGCATGACCCGCTCAAGATGCGGCACCCCTCCGAGTGCTCCATTGCCCCTGCCCCCTCCTTTGGCATGGTGGAGGTGAGTGCTGGTGGGGGTTGGAAGTGCTGTTGTGGTGTGAATACCATGGATCATATTCTACATTTTAAGGAGTGTTGTAGCTTTGCGTTGGTGAAAGTGATGGTTTCCTTAAGATTTAGCTCACCCTTTTCTCTTGATTATTATCTTGTTTGTCCCATTTCCCCACCTTCTGCAGGTGGATTGGGATAGAGAAAAGTTGGTGAAGCTACAGGTGAGGGACGGGGATACGAGTCAAGTTAGAATAGAGCTTGTGTTGGAGTTGGCCGAGTGCCTAAACCATTGATGAATATAACAGCAGGTCAGATTTGCAAGCCCTTGCAATCTAATCTAGATATTTCTTCTACTAAATTAAATATTTTTTCATTCCTAGCCATTTCACATTCACGCCTGCGATTATCACGTATGCTCTGTCGGGTCCTCCTGAAGCGCGTAATCGGGATCTGACAAAGCAGAGCCCAATCATCATCAGTCGCCATCAGTAAGACCTGCAACGGAAGGTGACTACTAGACGCGACACCATCGGTTACTCCCCGTCGAGTTCCTTCTCGAGCGTTCACCGTACATTTTTCTAACGATTTCGAAGGATTCGATAAGAGCTTGAGGAATCTTCGAGGATCGTAGAGGATAACGCAGCGATGCGATTGTAGGCATGCAGCGCCACCTCGTCTCGCGCGCAGCCTCGCGCTCCCTTCGCTTTCGACGACAGCAAGGCAGCAGATGGGGCGTCACGATTAGCCGTACGACCCACGTGGCACGGGATGAACCGGTACATGATACCGCACAACTGAATACGTTCTTTCCCCCAGCTGGGTACGCAAGCGCCGTTTATCCGCCCACATGGCTTCCGAACACGCCTGCTGGGAGCGGCGGGATTTTCCGCCGGGAGTACGGTTCGCGGGAGTTAGATGTTCGGGGGCGGCGGGGATTGGCGGCTGCCGCAGAAGCTGCGCCAGCGGCGGATGCGGACGAGGTGGCGCGGATGGCGGAAACTTCTGCGGAACGTACGCCAGAGGCTGCGGCGGCGGGGGGCGGGGCGCAGACCCGCGCAGAGGGCGGTGGGCGGAAGGGCGGGGGCAAAGGCGGGGGAAGCGGGTGGTGGGAGGCGGAGGAGAGGCGGCGACAGAAGCGGGTGCCGGCGTGGGTGTTTGGGGAGTTCGAGCATCCCATCCGACGTGGCGGCCTGCCGTTGCACGCGTGGATCGCGTTCAAGGTTCTCAAAGATGCCGGTGCGCGCCGCTGCCTCATCAACCGCCGTATTTTCCTCTTCCTCGCTCTCTTCCGCCCTCTCTATCGCGCTCTTTTTATCCGCTCTGAACCCTGCCCATTTGTTCATCCCCAAGCCCTGAACCCGGAAACCTTGCACCCTTAAACCCTGAACCCAGGTTTGGAACCCTACCTGGTGGGCGGGGCAGTGCGCGACCTCTTTTTGGGCCGAATTCCCAAGGACGTGGACATCATAGTGGACGCGTCACCCGCCCACGTGGCACGCGTGTTCCGCGAGCGCAAGTTCCGCCCCGTCGTGATTGGCCGCCGCTTCCCCATCTGCCGCGTCTTCCTCAAAAACGCCGTCGTGGACGTGAGCGAAGGGGGGCAATGGATGTGTGGGGGGTGGTTGAGTTGGTCCTTACCCACCC